CAGGTCTCTGTCCTGAAGTCCTCTCACTTTAGTCCTGGTCTCAGGCCTCTGTCCTGAAGTCCTCTCACAATAGTCCTGGTCCCAGGTGTCAGTCCTGAAGTAGCCTGGTCGTACTACACCATAGTACAAATTACATTTCGTACTAAGGTCTGGAGGTGCCATTGAGCTCCGTTAACAGATAGGAGGGGTTAACTCCTTTTGTAGATTGAAACGATTGGATCTGAGTTTACCATGAAGTATGTAATGCGCCCGAGTGAGTCGTTAGCATTTAGCCTAGCCATCTCCTTTGCCGCTAACGGAGCCTGTGGGGAGTAGTGCCACAATTTTTTCCAGCGGTTACATTTGCTAAACATTCCTCTTGCTCCGGATTCAATTTCTTGATAGAACCAGACCGGATTACTTTACTATTGCATTTTTTGCCATTACCAAACTACAACCTGCCTGTTCGACGCAAACTCTTGACATCACCCACAACTAACTACAACACCGCCTCCCGCGCTCTCTGAATGGTTGGTCGAAATTCAACCGATTGTAATCGCCAACACAGGGACTAGACACAGACGTTACATGCAGTGAAATGATGATTGAACGGAGTGTACGGATGGCTAAGGCCAGGCTAGTCTTGAAGTACTCTCACATTAGTTCTGGTCTCAGGTCTCTGTCCTGAAGTCCTCTACTGCTACTGCTACTGCTACTACTACTGCTACTGCTACTGCTACTGCTACTGCTTCTACTACTACTACTACTGCTACTGAAACTGCTGCTGCTACTTCTACTATTACTACTACTGCTACTACTGCTAGGCACCAAGCTTCATGAACTTTGAACCCCCTTAAGCCCTTCACCCGCAGCCTTAGATCCTCGGGCAGGTCCCTGTGACTGTTCCGAGGGAAATGGAGCCTTCTCTGTCCGTGGTCCTCGGCTTTGGAACCCCCTCTTTTAAATTACTTCTTAAAACTCACTTTTATCAAACAGCTTTTAACTGTTTTAAAGTTCACATGTTGCATTTCACTGTTTCCCTCTGCTTTATTCTGCTGTATTTATTTTTAATCTGTTTTTCTGCCTTATACTGACTGTAAACACTGCTTTTTAAAAGTGCTAAACAAATAAAGATGTCCATCCATTTTCTTCCGCTTTATCCGTTGCCGGGTCGCGGGGGCAGCAGTCTAAGCAGAGACGCCCAGACTTCCCTATCCACACACACCTCCTCCAGCTCGTCCGGGGGGACCCCAAGGCGTTCCAAGACCAGCTGGGAGACATAGTCCCTCCAGCGTGTCCTAGGTCTTCCCCGGGGCCTCCTCCCAGTGGGATGTGCCCGGAACACCTCCCCAGGGAGGCGTCCAGGAGGCATCCGGAACAGATGCCCGAGCCACCTCAACTGGTTCCTCTCGACGTGGAGAAGCAGCGGCTCTACTCTGAGCTCCTCCCGTGTGACTGAGCTCCTCACCCTATTCCTAAGGGAGCGCCCAGCCACTCTGCGGAGGAAGCTCATTTCGACCGCTTGTATCCGCGATCTCGTTCTTTCGGTCATTACCCAAAGCTCATGACCATAGGTGAGGGAGGGAACGAAGATTGACCGGTAAATTGAGAGCTTTGCCTTTCGGCTCAGCTCCCTCTTTACCACAACGGTCCGATAAAGCGACCGCATCACTGCGCACGCTGCACCGATCCGCCTGTCAATCTCACGCTCCATTCTTCCCTCACTCGTGAACAAGACCCCGAGATACTTGAACTCCTCCACTTGAGGAAGGACCTCTCCACCCACCTGTAGAGGGCAAGGCACCTTTTTCCGGTCGAGCACCATGGCCTCGGATTTGGAGGTGCTGATTCTCATCCCAGCCGCTTCACACTCGGCTGCAAACCGCCCCAGTGCATGCTGCAGGTCCTGGTTCGTTGGAGCCAACAGGACAACATCGTCTGCAAACAGCAGAGATGAAATCCTGTGGTCTCCGAACCGGACCCCTCCGACCCCTGGCTGCGCCTAGAAATTCTGTCCATAAACACAGTGAACAGAACCGGTGACAAAGGGCAGCCCTGGCGGAGGCCAACATTCACCGGGAACAGGTCTGACTTACTGCCGGCAATGCGAACACAGCTCTGGCTCCGGTCATACAGGGATCGGATGGCCCTCAGCAGAAGACCCCCGACCCGTACTCCCGGAGAACCCCCCAAAGGACACGCTGGGGAACACGGTCGAACGCCTTCTCCAAATCCACAAAGCACATGTGGACAGGTTGGGCAAACTCCCATGAACCCTCGACTATCCGATGGAGAGAATAGAGCTGGTCCAGTGTTCCGCGACCGGGACGAAAACCACACTGCTCCTCCTGAATCCGAGATTCGACCATCGGCCGTAGCCTCCTCTCCAGTACCTTGGAGTAGACCTTACCGGGGAGGCTGAGGAGTGTGATCCCACGATAATTGGAACACACCCTCCGGTCTGCCACTCCATTGGCACCGCCCCCGATCGCCACGCGATGTTGCAGAGACGTGTCAACCAAGACAGTCCTACAACATCCAGAGACTTTAGATAGTCAGGACGTATCTCATCCACTCCCGGCGCCTTGCCACCATGGAGGCTGCCAACCACCTTGGTGACCTCAGCCAGGGAGATGGATGTATCCGCCCCAACATCCTCAGCCTCTGCCTCTGTAACGGAGGACGTGACGGGGGGATTGAGGAGAACCTCGAAGTATTCCTTCCACCGCCCAACAATATCCCCAGTCGAGGTCAGCAGCTCTCCACCCGCACCGTACATGGTGTTGGCAAAGAACTACTTCCCCCTCCTGAGGCGCCGGATGGTTTGCCAGAATCTCTTCGAGGCCGACCGATAGTCATGCTCCATGGACTCTCCGAACTTCTCCCAGTCCCGGGTTTTTGCCTCTGCAACAGCCCGGGCCACGGCACGCTTGGCCTGCCGGTACTGGACAGCTGCCTCAGGAGTCCCCCGAACCATCATGGCTCGATAGGACTCCTTCTTCAGCCTGACAGCATCCCTTACTGCCGGTGTCCACCACCGGGTTCGGGGGTTGCCGCCGGGACCAGCACCAGAGACCTTGTGACCACAGCTACGAGCCGCCGCATCGGTGATTGAGGCAGAGAACAAGGTCCACTCGGACTCCATGTCCCCCTCCTCCGCCGGGACCTGGGAGAAGCTCTCCCGGAGGTGTGAGTTGAAAGTCCGTCTGACAGGGGGCTCGGCGAGACGTTCCCAGCAGACTCTCACTACACGCTTGGGTCTACCAGGTCTGACCGGCTTCTTCCCCTGCCAGCGGATCCAACTCCCGACCAGGTGATGATCGGTTGACAGCTCCGCCCCTCTCTTCACCCGAGTGTCCGAGACACGCGGTCGAAGGTCAGATGATACGACAACAAAGTCGATCATCGACCTCCGGCCTAGGGTGTCTTGGTGCCACGTGCACTGGTGGACACCCTTGTGCTCGAACATGGTGTTCGTGATGGACAAACTGTGACTGGCACATAAGGCCAACAACTGAACACCGCTCGGGTTCAGATCAGGGGGGCCGTTCTTCCCAATCACCCCTCTCCAAGTCCATCCATCCATCCATTTTCTTCCCTTTAATCCATTTCTGGGTCAGGGGGGTGGCAGTCAGAGATGCCACCCAAGTCTCATAGCACCAGCCCCTCACTGACCCTCTGCAGGTGGTGAGTCCACAGGAGGACGGCTGCTCTCTGAGTGTGAGCATAGCCTTGATCTTTCAGTGGGGGCTTTGGGGCAAAGTGGGGTTAAGTGTCTTGCCCAAGGACACAACGACAGCAGTCATCAGTGGGAGTCGGTGGAGAAGGTGCAGAGGTGGGAATTGAACCCACGACCTTCTGGGCTTAAGGCCAATGCTCTACCAACTGAGCTACTGTCGCCCCCCTCTCCAAGTGTCACTGGCAATTCCCACATGGGCGTTGAAGTCCCCCAGGAGATTAACGGAGTCCCCGGGCGTTGCACCGTCCAGTACCCCTCCCAAGGACTCCAAGAAGGCCGGGTACTCTGCACTGCTGATAGGCCCGTAGGCCGTCACAACAATGAGAGGCTTGTCCCCCACCCGGAGGCGGAGGGACGCGACCCTCTAATTCACCGGGGAGAACTCCAACACGTGGCGGCTGAGGTGGGGGGCAATGAGTATGGCCACCCCAGCTCGCCGCCTCTCCCCGCAAGCAACACCAGAAAAGTGGAGCGTCCAACCCCTCTCAAGGAGTTGGGTTCCAGAGCCCAAGCTGTGTGTGGAGGTGAGGCCGACTATCTCTAGTCTCTAGGCTCCTTCCCCCCCAGTGAGGTGACGTACCACGTCCCAAGAGCCAGATGTTGTGTCTGCGGACTGGGTCGCCGAGGTCTCCGCCTTCGACTGCCGCCCAGTCCTCTTAGCACCGCGCCACCACGGACCCCTCTCCAGGTGGTGGGCCCACAGGAGGGACTGCCCACGTTGTTCCTTCGGGCTGAGCCCGGCCGGGCCCTGTGGGCTAAGGCCCGACCACCAGGCGCTCTCTTGCGAGCCCCAACCCCAGGCCTGGCTCCAGGGTGGGGCCCCGGCTGCGCCATGCCGGGCAACGTCATGGTTTTCATTGTCGTGCTATCCATTGTTGGCTTCGGACTGCGCTTCGTCTGACTCGTCACCTGAGACCTGTCTGCCATGGGAGACCCTACCAGGGTCATGAAGCCCCAGACAACATAGCTCCCAGGATCACCCGAGTACTCAAACTCCCCCACCACGTTAAGGTGGCAGTCCAAGGGGGAGAAATAAAGATGTATTATTGTTATTTATTACTGCTACTACTACTGCTACTACTCCTACTACTACTACTTCTAATTCTACTACTGCTACTGCTACTACTACTACTGCTACTGCTACTATTACTACTGCTACTACTACTACTACTACTACTACTACTTCTACTACTACTACTGATACTTCAGCTGCAGCTAGGGTTAGGGTTTCTTGCATGTTTTTCAATGCACCCTGGTCTGACAAAGGTGTGTGTGTGTACAGGAAGGTGATCGAGGTGAAGATCATTGACGATGAGGAGTATGAGAAGAACAAGACGTTCACCATCGAACTGGGAGAACCAGTGCTGCTGGAGATCGGACAGAAACATGGTGAGAGACCAGAGAGAGACCATAGGGAGACCATAGGGAGACCAGAAGGAGACGAGAGGGAGACCAGAGGGAGACCAGAGAGACACGAGAAAGAGACCAGAGAGAGAGGCCAGAGAGAAACCAGAGAGAGACCAGAGAGAGACCAGAGGGAGACCAGAGGGAGAGACCAGAGAGAGATCAGAGAGAGACCAGAGAGAGATCAGAGAGAGACCAGAGGGAGACCAGAGGGAGACCAGAGGGAGACCAGAGGGAGAGACCAGAGGGAGACCAGAGGGAGAGACCAGAGAGAGATCAGAGAGAGACCAGAGAGAGATCAGAGAGAGACCAGAGGGAGAGACCAGAGGGAGAGACCAGAGAGAGACCAGAGATATCAAACCTGTTGGTTGTGGGTCTGAGTCACAAGGGAGGAGCTCGGAGTAGAGCCTCTGCTGCTGTGGTGGTGTGTTCAGTGTGTGAGTCAGGGTCTCTCCCCCACAGAGAGGAGTGTCCTGTCTCCTCAGACTCTCTCTGACAGGTTAGTGTGTTGCTGACGTGAGGGTTCTACTCCCTCTGCGTCAGGCTGCTGTCAGGTCTACTCAGGTCCAGGGTCTAAGTATATATACACACAGACACACACACACACACACACACGCACACATAGTTCCAGAGAAAATACACATGTTTTTATATACAGGAACGAGGTGAGAGCAGGGTTGTGTAGGATCCAGTGGGGGCGGGTCCCGGCTTCTTGCTGTGGAGGTGTACAGGAAACAGAATTATCCAATTAATTCTTATGGCACCTGTTCCTCTTGCAAACAGCTTCACGGTCTGCTCCAGAAGTCGGCTCTTGGTTCATGGTATTGTTTTCGGAACCAGCCGAGTTCATCTGTTGTGGAATTTTTTAATGAACGCAATTTTTCAGCCATGTGTCAGACTCGTGCAGCAAAAGCTTTTTCCTGTGGGAGGGGCTTCTCGCGGCCATTTTGAAAAAGTCCATGTTGATCACATACAATGAGGAAATAGACGTCACTACGTCCTTAATATTTACAGTCTATGGTCGGAATGCTACTACTCGAGTAGCCACAGGTTCCACAAGTGCCAACGATGCCACGTGTCATACGCCACGAATGTAACAGATGCCATAGACGCTACATGTCTCATAGATGCCATAGGTGCAACAGATGCTACAAGTGCCACAGGTGCCACAGATGCCACAGGCGTCACAGATGCCACAGCTCCCTCACCAGATATTGGATACAAAGTCCCAAATGGTCTACTCATAATCAGAATCCTTTTATAACGACTGTAACCTGTGTATGTCCAGGAGATTCCAACGAGAACAAGCCCCCGGTGGGCGCAGAGGAGGAGGAGGTGGCAAAGATGGGCTGCCCCAGTCTGGGGGAGCACAGCGCCATGGAGGTGGTCATTGAGGAGTCCTACGAGTTCAAGGTCTGTGTCCGGAATGTTCTGTGGAGGCTCTGAAGGATCATACACCACTGCTCACACATTCCCTCAGAGTCATCTGACTGTTTGGGCCGAGAGCGGATTGGCTGAGAGAGGGTGGTCCTCTGCTCCATGTGTTAGTCTGAAAAAGCGTATGTGAAAAAGGGGAACCCTGTATTAGTCCCACTGAGGGATTAGACCCTCACTCACCCCCACCCCTCCTTCACCCCCTCACTCACCCCCCTCCCTCACCCCCCTCCCTCTGTGTCATTCATGTTAGTACACACCTGCATCTGAATGTAACAGACCATGACATTTGTGCCATTATTCATATGTTTTCCCCATTGTGTGTGTTTGTGTGTGTGTGTGTGTGTGTCTGTGTGTGTGTGTGTGTGTGTGTCTGTGTGTGTGTTTGTGTGTGTGTCTGTGTATGTGTGTGTGTGTGTGTCTGTGTGTGTGTTTGTGTCTGTGTGTGTGTGTATGTGTGGGTGTGTGTGTGTGTCTGTGTGTGTGTGTGTGTGTCTGTGTGTGTGTTTCTGTGTGTGTGTGTGTGTGTGTGTCTGTGTGTGTATGTCTGTGTGTTTGCGTGTGTGTGCGTGTGTGTGTGTGTCTGTATGTGTGTTTGTGTGTGTGTGTCTGTGTGTGTGTGTGTCTGTGTGTGTGTTTCTGTGTGTGTGTGTGTGTGTGTGTCTGTGTGTGTATGTCTGTGTGTTTGCGTGTGTGTGCGTGTGTGTGTGTGTCTGTATGTGTGTTTGTGTGTGTGTGTCTGTGTGTCTGTGTGTTGTGTGTGTTTCTGTGTGTGTGTGTGTGTCTGTGTGTGTGTTTGTGTGTGTGTGTCTGTGTGTCTGTGTGTTTGTGTGTGTGTTTCTGTGTGTGTGTGTGTCTGTGTGTGCGTGCGCAGAGAGCTGTAGATGAGCTGGTGCGGCGTTCCAAACAGGTGACCCCCCTCTCTCTCTCTCTCTCTCTCTCTCCCTCTCGCTCCCTCCCTCTCTCCCTCTCTCCCCCTCCCTTTCCCTCACCCACTTCCTCTCCTCCATTTCATGCACTTTACGTTCCTACTCATTCTCACTCTATTCATTCTCAGATGTGAATAAATCAATAGTTTGAGATGGAGTTGTGTTTAGCTCCATCCATGTTTCTACAAACAGTCTGTGAGTCCGAGATCAGTATGAAGTGTTATTAATGTGGTCCCTCTGATCTCTTGGTCATTCTGATCTCTTGGTCCCTCGTATCTCCTGCTCCCTCTGATCCCCTGGTCCCTCTGATCTCCTGGTCCCTCTGATCTCTTGGTCCGTATGATCTCTTGGTCCCTTTGATCTCCTGGTCCCTCTGATCTCCTGGTCCCTCTGATCTCTTGGTCCCTCTGATCTCTTGGTCCCTCTGATCTCCTGCTCCCTCTGATCTCTTGGTCCCTCTGATTTCTTGGTCCCTCTGATCTCCTGGTCCCTCTGATCTCTTGGTCCGTATGATCTCTTGGTCCCTTTGATCTCTTGGTCCCTTTGATCGCCTGGTCCCTCTGATCTCCTGGTCCCTCTGATCTCCTGGTCTCTCTGATCACTTGGTCCCTCTGATCTCTTGGTCCCTCTGATCTCCTGGTCCCTCTGATCTCCTGGTCCCTTTGATCTCTTGGTCCCTTTGATCGCCTGGTCCCTCTGATCTCCTGGTCCCACTGATCTTCTGGTCTCTCTGATCTCTTGGGCCCTCTGATCTCTTGGTCCCTCTGATCTCCTGGTCCCTCTGATCTCCTGGTCCCTCTGATCTTCTGGTCTCCTGGTCCCTCTGATCTCCTGCTCTCTCTGGTCTCCTGGTCCCTCTGATCTCTTGGTCCCTCTGATCTCTTGGTCCCTCTGATCTCCTGGTCCCTCTGATCTCCTGCTCTCTCTGATCTCCTGGTCCCTCTGATCTCCTGGTCCCTCTGATCTCCTGGTCCCTCTGATCTTCTGGTCTCCTGGTCCCTCTGATCTCCTGCTCTCTCTGGTCTCCTGGTCCCTCTGATCTCTTGGTCCCTCTGATCTCTTGGTCCCTCTGATCTCCTGGTCCCTCTGATCTCCTGCTCTCTCTGATCTCCTGGTCCCTCTGATCTCCTGGTCCCTCTGATCTCCTGGTCCCTCTGATCTCCTGCTCTCTCTGATCTCTTGGTCCCTCTGATCTCCTGGTCCCTCTGGTCTCCTGGTCCCTCTGATCTCCTGGTCCCTCTGATCTCCTGCTCTCTCTGATCTCCTGGTCCCTCTGATCTCCTGGTCCCTCTGATTACATGGTCCTCAGTCTCTTCTGGCCCCTCTGAACACCTGGTCTTCAGTCTCTCATGGTCCTCAGTCTCTACTGGTCCTCAGTCTCTCATGGTCCTCAGTCTCTCATGGTCCTCAGTCTCTGTTCCAAATCCCGGTTGGAACAGGGCCTTTCTGAGTGGAGTTTGCATGTTCTCCCCGTGTCTGGGTAGGTTTCCTCCAGGCACTCCGGTTTCCAATACCACTAAAAACATGTACAATAGGTCTGGCATGCATACTGGCGATCGCCATCTCTGCCCTCTCTGTGCGGAGTGAGAGACAAATGCCCACAATTGTAAACCGCTTTGTGACTCTGGTCTGTGAAAGCGGTATATAAATAAACATTACTTACTTACTTACTCAGTCTCTCCTGGTCCTCAGTCTCTTCTGGTCCTCAGTCTCTCCTGGTCCGCAGTCTCTCCTGGTCCTCAGTCTCTCCTGGTCCTCTGTGTTGCTCTGCTTCTTCTGTGTCTCATTCAAAATGATTGTATAAGTTGAAAATTATGTTTTCTCTGGAACTAACCACTTGTATGTGTGTATGTGTGTATTTGTGTATTTGTGTATGTGTGTGGGTGTGTGTGTGTCTGTGTCTCTACAGAACACTGTGGATAAACTTATAAAGAAAACAAACCTGGCACTGGTCGTTGGCAGCAGCAGCTGGAGGGAGCAGTTTGTGAGTGCGGTGACGGTGAGCGCAGGTGAGGAGGAGGAGGAGGAGGAGAGCAGGAGGAGGAGAGAGAGAGGAGGAGGTGGAGAGAGAGAAGAGGAGGAGGAGAGAAAGAGGAGGAGTAGGAGAGAGAGAAGAGGAGGAGGAGAGATAGAGGAGAGCGAGGAGGAGAGAAGAAGGAGGAGGAGGAGAGAGAGAGTAGGAGAGGAGAGATGAGGAGAGGAGGAGGAGGGCACCTGGTCCTAAGTCTAGACCTTGTGGCTCTTCCTGGTCCTCCCTCTGACCTGCTCCTCCTCCTCTGCAGGAGACGACGATGAGGAGGAGAGTGGGGAGGAGCGCCTGCCCTCTTGTTTCGATTACATCATGCACTTCCTGACCGTGTTCTGGAAGGTTCTGTTCGCCTTCGTCCCGCCCACTGAGTACTGGAATGGCTGGGCCTGCTTCCTGGTCTCCATCTCCCTCATCGGGGCCCTCACTGCAGTCACAGGGGACCTGGCCTCGCACTTTGGCTGCACCGTGGGCCTCAAGGACTCGGTCACCGCCGTGGTCTTCGTTGCCCTGGGGACATCGGTACCAGGTGAGCTATGATACCAATATGTGTGGCTGAGACCATATGTGTTGCTGATACCATGTGTGTTGCAGATACCATGTGTGTTGCTGATACCATGTGTGTTGCAGATACCACGTGTGTTGCTAAGACGATGTGTGTTTCTGAGACCATGTGGTTTGCTGAGACCATGTGTGTTGCTGAGACCATGTGTGTTGCTGACACCATGTGTGTTGCAGATACCTTTGCCAGTAAAGTGGCAGCGATCCAGGACCAGTATGCAGACGCCTCTATCGGGAACGTGACTGGATCGAACGCCGTGAACGTGTTCCTGGGGATCGGCGTGGCATGGACCATCGCCGCCGTGGCGTGGCGTTCCCGAGGGCAGCCGTTCCGTGTGGACCCTGGGAACCTGGCGTTCTCTGTGACGCTGTTCACCGTGATGGCGTGCGTGTGCGTGTGCATGCTGCTGTACCGTCGCCGTGCCTCGGTGGCGGGCGGCGAGCTGGGCGGCCCGCGGACGTGTAAGGTCGTCACGGCAATCGTGTTCGCGTCACTCTGGCTCATCTACATCCTGCTGGCCAGTCTGGAGGCCTACTGCCACCTCCCCTTTTAGAGAGGCAGCCAATCACAGGCCAGCACCGGACTGAGGCAGCCAATCACAAGCCAACACCGGACTGTGGCAGCTAATCACAGACACCATCACCGGACTGTGGCAGCCAATCATAAATCTCTGAAGGCCTGTTGTCACCTCCCCTTTTAGAGACTGGACTGAAGCAGCCAATCACAGGCCAGCACGGGACTGAAGCAGCCAATCACAGGCCAGCCTCCACAGAACTGTCCCAGCCGAGGATCTCCTGGAGCACTCTGCTTTGAGAGTCCCTGTGTCCACCAGCTCTACTCTACTCTACTCTACTCTACTCTACCCTACTCTACTGTACTCTACTCTACTCTACTCTACTCTATTTTACTCTACCCTACCCTACTCTACTCTGCTCTACTCCACTCTACTCTACTCTACTCTACCCTACTCTACTCTACCCTACCCTACTCTACTCTACTCTACTCTACTCTACCCTACCCTACCCTACTCTACTCTACTCTACTCTACTCTACTCTACTCTACTCTACTCTACTCTACTCTACTCTACTCTACTCTACTCTACTCTACTCTACTCCACTCTACACTACTCTACTCTACTCTACTCTACATACTCTACTCTACTGTACTCTAATCTACTCTGCAGAGTCAGACTGGACGTCCCACACATCAATGACCTAGAGACTTTAGCATGTTCTCTTGATGCCACACATGCACAGAGCCATAGAGCTGCAGCCAATCAGATTATGGCTCCTCCTCTGTATGCAACACACACATCTCTACTCTACTCTACTCTACACCACCCTAGAGCTGGTGGACAGGGCAGGGGCTACAGAGTGTGAGTAGCGCCCCTTGCTGGACTCCTTCTACACTGCCAGACCCCCCCCCCCCCCCCCCCCGGGCCCAAGCCCACGATGAAGTCTCACTCTACACTATGCTTTTACCTGTGACCCCAGGTTAATTTCTTTATTTTCTTTGATTGAGAAACCAGAGAGAGAGACCAGAGAGATCAGAGAGAGAAACCAGAGAGAGACCAGAGAGAGAGACCAGAGAGAGACCAGAGAGAGAGACCAGAGAGAGACCAGAGAGAGACCAGAGAGGGACCAGAGAGAGACAAGAGAGAGAGACCAGAAAGAAAGACCAGAGAGAGACCAGTGAGTGAGTGTAATATCTTTTCTTTGCCTTATAGCGCTCTGTAGACTTGGTATCGTGCATATTCCCCCCCCCCCCCCCCCCTCCCCCCTCTCCCCCTCCAGACTCTGACTTCTCAGTGGTGTCACGTGTCGGTGTTTGTTTCTGTAGCTGTAGAAAAGTGAGAGAGACTCGTCCAACACTGTGCACCACACATCGTGAGGTTTATTGTTTACACTTCTTCAAAAAGAAGGATGCGGGACTGGGAGCAGGACTTTTCTATTTCAACTGTGAGAGGCGTGTGAGAGGCGTGTGAGAGGCGTGTGAGAGGCGTGTGAGAGGCGTGTGAGAGGCGTGTGAGAGGCGTCTGAGAGGCGTGTGAGAGGCGTGTGAGAGGCGTGTGAGAGGCGTGTGAGAGGCGTGTGAGAGGCGTGTGAGAGGCGTGTGAGAGGGGTGTGAGAGGCGTGTGTGAGGCGTGTGAGAGGCGTGTGAGAGGCGTGTGAGAGGCGTGCGAGAGGCGTGCGAGAGGGGTGCGAGAGGCGTGTGAGAGGCGTGTGAGAGGCGTGTGAGAGGCGTGTGAGAGGGGTGTGAGAGGCGTGTGAGAGGGGTGTGAGAGGCGTGTGAGAGGCGTGTGAGAGGCGTGTGAGAGGCGTGTGAGAGGCGTGTGAGAGGCGTGTGAGAGGGGTGTGAGAGGCGTGTGAGAGGCGTGTGAGAGGGGTGTGAGAGGGGTGTGAGAGGCGTGTGAGAGGAGTGTGAGAGGCACGTGAGAGGCGTGTGAGAGGCGTGTGAGAGGGGTGTGAGAGGCGTGTGAGAGGCGTGTGAGAGGCGTGTGAGAGGGGTGTGAGAGGCGTGTGAGAGGCGTGTGAGAGGCGTGTGAGAGTCGTGTGAGAGGGGTGTGAGAGGCGTGTGACGTGTGAGAGGAGTGTGAGAGGCGTGTGAGAGGTGTGTAAGAGGCGTGTAAGAGGCGTGTTAGAGACGTGTGACGTGTGAGAGGCATGTGACTTGTGAGAGGCGTGTGAGAGGCGTGTGTCCAAAGCATTCTGTGTTCCGTGTTTTCCCAGTGACAGACACACATTAACGTCATGTTCCAGATGTTTTCTTACTGTGGCCTGATGTGGGGGTGTCCTTCAGCCCCGTCCTCTTCCCTCTGAGTGTGATGTACGTGTTGGACCTGAGGGGGCGCTGTGAGGCCAACAATGAAACAACACTCTGCGCTCACAGCTTAAACCCTATGACAGCGTTACAGAGGGGTCACAGTGGCAGAGTGGTTAGCCGCAGCACCGCCTTTCTGAGCGGAGTTTGCATGTTCTCCCTGTGTCTGTGTTGGTAAAACATGTACAGTAGTTGAAGTCCCCCAGCTCTGGTCTCTTGTTACCATGGCGACAGAAGGATCAGAGTCAGTACACCCACAGTATTCCCACAGTATTCCCAGAGTACTCCCAGTGTATTCCCAGAGTATTCCCACAGTATTCCAACAGTACTCCCAGAGTATTCCCAGAGTACTCCCAGAGTATTCCAGAGTATTCCCAGAGTACTCCCAGAGTATTCCCAGTGTACTGCCTGAGCAATCCCAGAGTTCTCCCAGAGTACTCCCAGAGTATTCCCAGAGTATTCCCAGAGTACTCCCAGAGTACTCCAAAAGGACTGGGTTGTTTCATGACGATCTTCTCGTCCTTGATGTAGCAATAACATTGGAATCTGCCATCAACCTTTTACTTTTATTTTACTTTTATTATTCCGAGATATAGATTTATTATGTGTGTGTGTGTGTGTGTGTGTGTGTGTGTGTGTGTGTGTGTGCGTGCGTGCGTGGGTGTGTATATGAGTGTGTCCTATCCTTCCCTGGTGCATGAGCCCTGACCTCTGACCTGCTCCTGTTTGTGTTGATGTGAAGTATTTGAAATGAACTATGACGTCATGTTTACAGACCTTTGTTTTACTCTAATAAAATATACAAGTGTCAGTGTCCTTCCCTGAGATTACATGTCATGCAGCTGTGTGTGCGCGCGCGTGTGTGTGTGTGTGTCTATAATTAAAACATGTGGAGCAGACACTGGGCTGTAGCGCTACCTGCTGGACACAGTTCATGCAGCTGGTTTCCTCTCACCTCCGTATTCTCTGCAGTGAGTTATTTATATCGCACATGTATATATACATAATTGTGCACAAGTAAAGAATCAGACTTTAGTATTATTTATTTAACCTATATTTAAGCAGGAAAAGAGATTCAAAACATTCAGTTTTATAGAAACAAGAAATAATGAAGCAGAGCCTCTGTAAACTCTGTGTCCTCACCAGAGAGAGACCACCAGGGTCCTATCTTTCGTCAAAATGCTCTAAGCCTGCTGATTTATGGAGTGAGAGATTGCTATGGAAACCAAGAAATATAACATAAGGAGCCTGCACCAGTCCTGGGTCTACAGCCTCCTGGATCTACAGTCTCAGTCATCCAGCTCCCTTGGTGTTTGTTGTTACTGCATTATCTGCTGCTGTGATCTAAACCGAAACAATGAATTGAAGCTTTTCCAGAGTGGTCTGAGGAGTCATTATCTCTGCGTGGGTTACATAGACAAATATGTAACCCACATATAATATAATATATATATATATATAATATATATATATATATATATATATATATATATATATATATATATATATATAATATATATAATATATATATAATATATAATATATATATATATATAATATATATAATAATATAATATATATATATATATATATATATTATATATATTATATATATATATTATTAATATATATTATACAGAGAAAACTACAAGTACATACGCGGAGTGTAGTGCAAATAGCCCACAGCTTAAACCCTATGACAGCGTTATAGAGGGGTCACAGTGGCAGAGCGGTTAGCCGCAGCACCGCCTTTCTGAGCGGAGTTTGCATGTTCTCCCATACGCGGAGTGTAGTGCAAATAGCCCACGCTCTATAACGGACTTGAAGACGGCGGTGCCCACGTGACCGTTAGCATTCGGTGGCTAACGAGGCGAGCTAAAGGGAGCTACGTCGCATCGGCCTCAGTCACACGAGCCTCCAGCGGGAACGACGAGTGCGTGTGACCGCGAAGCACTTCCACAGGAACACTTCGAACGCTATGCCAGGTACGCGTGAGCTGTGTGACCGAGCGTGTGGCCTCTGTCTGCGGCGTGAGAGAGGCACCGTCCCCGGGAGCGCGGAGCTGGTTCGGCTGCGGGAGATGCTGCCATGCTGGAGGCTGCTAGCATCAGGCTGTTAGCATCAGGCTAACACTGCAGCCTGTTAGCTAACACAGCCTCACGGATGTGACTAATAACGAAAGCTATTGACCCACAGACGGAGTTGAAGCTCGGGAACACACTCTACACGTGTTGTCCACACGTGTGAAGTGTTCTGGGAGTGAAAGTGTTGTGTTCTGGTCTTCGTGTCTCTGTTTACGCACGTCTCGCTGCCTTTGTTGTTGTTATAGACTGCACTCAGGCCTGTGCACACGGCGCTGGCCGAGCATCACTCAGATAACCTCATAACTGCTCTTTGCACGAGTTTGTCCCATGGAAAACTCGTTTATTTTGTTTTCACTGTGGGTCATTCGCTTTTGGCTTTATCTGTCCATCAACAACAACACTTCCATTTCAATGTTTTTGAGAAGTTTTTGTCGATATCAAAGATGATTCCAGCCTCTGACGTGTCTGGGTCAGATCTGTGCTGAATGTGTCATGTTCAGAACACTTCAGAACGAAAAAAACTACGTCCTGCTGATGTTACACGTGTTTGAGAGCTCTCTGAGTATGATTGTTTTACAGACACACTTCGCTGTTGAGTGAATACAGCACATGTTTCTCAGTGTTTCCCACAGTGTTGTACCTGTGTTAACTCTCTACTAGCTTTACCTTTGACAAATCCGTCCAATCCATTTAGCGCTAGCGTGGACCTGGGTCACACACACATTCAGGTGATGACTCCTCACTCCTCTCTTTCTCTTCGTTGGCTACAGTGGCGTAACAAACTTCTTTTGAAGTGTCTATAAAGATTCACTTCACTAAACTCCATTTTTAAATTCAAAGCAATTTAAATTCAATACGTTTTCCAGTATAGGACGGATCAGGAAGGAGATAGTGTGTGTGGATTTGGACGCAGTCAGAGCTCCGTTAGTCCAGTCTGACGTTAGGTAACTGAGAAGGGCGTGTTTTAGAACGCTTCACTTTATTTATACATTATATATACATCATCATTTACTTCATATACACGCTGCACGTGCATCACACACAGGTCTGCAATAAGACTGTTGGGGGGAAAGTCTCTTTCCTAGCAACAGCCCCAAAACATCTACAGGAAAAATGGGCCAAAATACATCAACAGTGTGTAAACCTCACAGAACACGTGTGGTATGTTGTCATTGCCACCAAAGGGAATATAGCACAGATGGATTTTTGTTATTGACTCAATTCTTATTTTCCATCCTTTGCAAATAAACTCTTTCAAAATGTGATTTTTTTAAAATGTTTTTTCTCATTAGTCTGAAAACTAATATAGACTAAATACTCTTTATTCCTGACTGTAAATGTTTCACCATGTGTGTTAAATGTCAACTGATTGTGCAGAGCCAGCTGAGATGAGCGGTCCAGAAGTGGCAAAGACCCCTGGGGGAGGGGCCCCAGGGAAGGAGGGCAAGGAGCCGGTGGCAAACGGGCATCCAGGAGACGGCAACGAGGCCAACCCATTCGCCGAGTACATGTGGATGGAGAACGAGGAGGAGTACAACAGACAGGTGGGCAGGTCCTCTTTATACAGTAAGAAGGTGCACACAGTTTGTCTCATGCGCTCATGAAGTCTGGCTCCTCAGTAACTGTGTGACATTACTATGTTTGGCTTAAATCTGTGGTTTTGGCGGACCAATCAGAGGTCTTCATTCAGGGGAAACTCCAGCTCGCCTTAGAAACCTTCTTAGCAGCACGTCTAGTTCTTATTTTCACTCTAGAGACCAGAGTGGTGATGTCGCACTGTGGTGATGTCACACTTATATCTGGTCATTGGTCCTGACTGCAGGTGGAGGAGGAGCTGCTAGAGCAGGAGTTCCTGGAGCGTTGCTTTCAGGAGATGTTGGAGGAGGAGGACCAGGACTGGTTCATTCCCTCACGTGACCTGAACAACACCGGAGTGAGTCAGCTGCAGCAGCAACTCAACGGGCTGTCGGTGTCAGAGCACAGCAGCCTGGAGGAGCTGGCGGTGAGTGTGAGTCTGTGTGTGAGTCTGTGTGTGAGTCTGTGTGTGAGTCTGTGTGTGAGTCTGTGTGTGAGTCTGTGTGTGAGTCTGTGTGTGAGTCTGTGTGTGAGTCTGTGTGTGAGTCTGTGTGTGAGTCTGTGTGTGAGTCTGTGTGTGAGTCTGTGTGTGAGTCTGTGTGTGTGTCTGTGTGTGAGTCACATAGGTTTTTACAAACTAGGCCAAGTGGCCCGGATCGTCGCCACAGGGGTGTGAAAACGGCCCGCGGTCACATGAACGTATTGTCTGAACCGTGCCAGGGAAATTGTGCTGTAGTACAACACTCGGTCCAGCTGGTGGCGCTAATACTAACACCAGATCCGCTTCTTTTCCTGTTTAGTCTGCTACTGTAGCTAACAGCTCAGTAGGATTGCGTTGTTTAGGGAAAGATACATCTCGTGTGTGCGTGTGTGTGTGTGTGTGTGTGTGTACACCGCGGACACACACTCGCTTTAGCAACGAGCGTAAGAAAGCTGAGAAATGAATGAGAATAAAGGAATGAAGTGTGGCGTATGAGCATAGCGACCGCAGACCGGGAGGTTACAAGTGTGTGTGTGTTCTGGTGATTAATTAAAGACTGATTCTTGAGTGTCTGAAGTGTTATTGCAATAGCACCACACTGAGGGTGAGGGTCAGGACAGAAGAGAGCTATACCATAGGAAACGCTTTTCTTTGGCTCTGGAGCGGGACACTCCCCCAGCGCCCCTCGACCACGCTCCGGGGCTTATATGAAAGATTTGACACAAGCGGAGAATACGAAAGTGCAGGAGAGACTGTGTGAAAATGCGTGTCAAAGGAAGACGTAATGTGACGCACAATATCAAGTCCCCACCACACCTAATCCCACACTCTCCACCACCCACGACACTGACCCTCCCCCCTCATCTGCGCTGGGAAGTGGGCCCTGGCCACAGTCAGGGCCCGGCGCCAGAGCACAATTTCTGGGAGCACGATTCCTGGAATCCCGCGGTCAGATGGCACCTAAAGCCCGGATCTAATCGCAAAGCGGGCCCTGGCACACTTTAACCGGGCTTTAGGCTGCGCATGTGACCGCAGCCAGTGTGTCTTCAGAGTCTGCTTGTTTCTGACCATTGTCTCTCGTTGGTCTCCCTCTGGTCTCTTTCGGGTCTCTGACACTGTTTGTGTTTGCAGAGGAAGAGTGTGTTGAATCCGGAGGCAAAGGAGTTCGTCCCTGGGAAGAAGTACTAGAAGTCCCCCTCACCCCCGTGGAGCCGCACGCACACACACAGTCACACTCACACACACAGACACTCACACAGACACTCACACACACCAGTGTCACCTCCTCAAAGACTCTGCCGCTCGCGGCTCACTGACCACAGGGGGCGTGTCCAGTCGGGGGGTGGGGGGACTGCTCTTTCTGTTTTGTTTTATTTCCTTTTTATTTCCTGTTCTTTTCTTGTAAACTGAGGGTGTTGGGGGCAGGGGGTAGTACCAGCACTGCCCTGTGGGGGCGCTAGCTCATCAGCAGACGGGGCACTCTGTAACTCATGTACTCTGTAAACTATGGCAGCGAGTGACATCAGCGACGACACCATCAGCCACAGGCTCAAGAGCACAGCCGCAGAGGGCCACAGCTTGGAATCATGCAGAGCAGAGAGGGGAGGGGCCTAACCAGGTGTGCAGTTGTAGACCTGTGTGTGCGTCCACGCCGCTGCATCTGTGTCACCTGCGTGTGCGTCCGTGCGGCTGCGTGTGCGTCTGCGCCGCTGCGTTTGCATCACCTGCGTGTGCGTCCGCGCCGCTGCGTATGTGCGTCACCTGCGTGTGCGTCTGCTGGGACAGTAGCCTGCGTCCCTCAGCAGTTTCTCGTTAGCACCATGCTCCTGTCGTCACTCCTACAGTCCTTGGGGAAAGTGAAAGTATATATTTTATGTTCTTCAAACAGAAGTATGAGACTTCGCAGTAGGTTTTTGGTCCCGCCTCCTGAAGCTGCTGAGTGACGCCCGGTGAAGCCAATAGGAATGTCCGCCAGGTGGATGTACGATATGGAATCATTTTTGTGATTTAGTTTTGTTAGCGACCCGAGAGTCAGAGGTCCAGAAGACAGAGTATGAAATTCATGACAATAAAACCATGAAAAAATGTTGAATAAAGTTGTTAAAGACAAACCTCAGCGAGTGCTGCGTCCTGTGTGTTACTGTGGCGCCCCCTGCTGGTGAAGCCTGATCCTTACCCGAGGCAGGTCCTGTTTGCTCAGATTAGTGCTGTACTATCAGAGGGACCATGAAGAGTTTTGTCTGTTTTATTTCATATTTTCCTGATTTCTACGTTTCATATAGAATTTTTGTAAAAATATAAAAACATTAAAATGGACCGCTGACCACGTGACCGAGCATGTGACAGCAGTACGGAAGTCGGCGATCAGCGATGGCACAAGTGTTCGGCGGAGTGGAAGGGTGAGTGTGTTTGACCCGTAGGTCCTGCTCCGGGTCCGTGTCTGTATCAGCGCTCATGCTGCTGTGCTTCATTCAGTTTAGTTTCTAAAATCCTGGATATGTGGCTGCGTCTGTATTCACAAAGGCTCCTCTTCCTGCTCTTCATCGTCACGGGAGCATCACAGTTGACTTCAGTAAACTGAAAAAGTTTTATCCACGTCTTGGACATTTTTTGTGTTCTTTATAAACAGAATTTCCGCGTCTCATAAACCGCTTCTTCCTCAGAGCAAGAGAAAGGAGACATTTTATGGTTTCGAATGCGACCATAAACGCGACACACCTTTTTAATGCTTATCAGCATTATCAGTTTCAGTGAAACATGTTGAATTTAAAACCGTTCATACTGAGGTGAAATTAAAATGGAGTCACACTTATTTGATGCCATTCATAAATATTAAATATTTCTTGGAATTGTGTGTGTGTGTGTGTGTGTGTGTGCTTCTCGCTCTGTCCACCAGGGGGGGCAGTCACTCTGTGGCTCTCATCGTCTCTGCAGAAGGACAAATCCTGTCTCAGACACAAGGGCCCTGCAGTAACCACTGGGTACAAAGAATCTCTTTGGTCTCTTTCAAATAAATAGGTTTTTATAATTACTATAACGACTTAGATGTGTGTGTGTGTGTGTGTGTAGCTGGTAGGAGCAGACAGATGTTTGGAGGTGATCTATGACATTGTGCAGAGAGCGAAGGCTGAGGCTGGTCTGGACCCAGACACACCTCTGCTGTCTCTGGTAACACCTCCTCATTCCTCACTCCTCCACACTACTCCTCTTCACTCCTCACTACTCCTCCACCACACTCTTCCTCCACACTCCTTCTCCTCACTCCTCCAAACTCCTTCTCAGGGCATGTCTCTCAGTGGTGGTGATCAGAAGGAGGCCATAAACAAACTGATTGAGGACATGAGGAGGCACTACCCCAACCTCAGCCAACACTACCTGATCACCACAGACGCCATGGGAGCCATCGCCACAGCCAGCGACCAGGGTCTGTCCACTCTCTACACTCTCTCCTATCTCTCTTCTCTTGTCTCCTCTCCTCTCCTCTCTCGGGAGTACAGTATGATAGTGTGCGTGTGTGTGTAGGTGGTGTGGTGCTGATCTCTGGTACTGGTTCTAACTGTAAGCTCATGAACCCTGGAGGAGCTGCAGTCGGCTGTGGAGGCTGGGGTCACATGATGGGAGATGAGGGCTCAGGTAAATATGGTCTCTCTCTGGTGTCTCTCTCTGGTCTCTCTCTCTGGGCTCTCATGGTTCTCTGTGTAGCCTTCTGGATCTCTCATCTCGCTGTGAAGACAGTGTTTGATGCTGAGGACCATCTGGCTCCGCCCCCTCACGGCGTCACTCACGTCCGCGGCGCCATGAACGACTACTTTAAGGTTTGTGTAAATAACAGGTCTTTATGCTGCTCCAGTGTCTTCAGTGTGTGTCTGTGTGTGTGTGTGCAGGTGAGTGACCTGATGGGGATGTTGCCTCACCTCTACAGAGACTTCAAGAAGGACTTTTTCGCTGGATTTTGCAAGAAATTGGCAGAAGGTGAACTTCAAATTATTTGTGTAACACTCATCACAGCAGGGACTGAGGCCGTAGACCCAGGACTGGACTGAGGCCGTAGACCCAGGACTGGACTGAGGCCGTAGACCCAGGACTGGACTGAGGCCGTAGACCCAGGACTGGACTGAGGCTGTAGACCTGTGTCCAGGCGCCCTGGCTGGAGACCCTCTGTGCAGACATGTGTTCTCGGAGGCGGGGAAGGTCCTGGCTGAACATGTGGTGGCTGTGCTGCCTGCTGCAGCGGAGGTGGGTTGTAATATCTGTAGGAGCAGCAGCTCTACCTTAAGATCCTCCTGCTTCACTCACTCTGAGCCGTTCTGCAGACGCTGCTCTCTGGAGACATGGGTCTCCCCATCCTCTGTGAGGGAGCCGTGTGGAGGAGCTGGGACCTACTCAAACCAGGTACCAGAGGGAGACCAGAGGGAGACCAGAGGGAGACCAGAGGGAGACCAGAGGGAGACCAGAGGGAGACCAGAGGGAGACCAGAGGGAGACCAGAGGGAGACCAGAGGGAGACCAGAGGGAGACAAGAGGGAGACCAGAGGGAGACCAGAGGGCATTCGGATCAATCAAAGCGCGGCTGATTGACTGTGTGTGTGTCTCTGTGTGCGTTTTCAGGGTTCACTCCGGTCCTGACTGAAGCAGCGTCCAGTGATCAATTCAGAGGTCGTTTCCGTGGTTACCGCCTCCTGACCCTGCAGCAGTCGTCGGCTCTAGGCGGGGCCCGTCTGGGGTCTGAGGAGCTGGGGGCCCCCCTTCACATGGACTACTGCTCCAATGCCAAAGAGTTCTACAGCCACCGCTTCAACTCTGACCTATGACATCACTCCTGCAGCTATGACATCACTCCTGCAGCACTTTGATAATTCTGAGTTAGTTTTGATAATTTTTTACAATTACATGTGTTTACAGCTACAGAACACACTGGAATATATATATATTAGGATAAAGATGCTAACATTAGCTCCTGTTAGCATGCTTTCAGTAGCTGTTAGCATTTAGTCTTATCTCTATCTAAACACTGAGCATCTCCTCATGTCTCTGCTGTTCACATAAACCACAACTGATGGAGCAGTGTCCAGACCAATCTGTAGCCGATGGGATAAAGCAAGTTCTTATAGTCCACTGTGTGCTGTACCTCCCCCTGGTGGTGGCACAGGGAGAGCGTGATTCTTGTTTTGTAATTTTTCTACGTAAAGAGACAGTGTGTGATCTTCACTGCTCTAATAAAGTCTTTACATCACTCTGGTAGAATCTTCCTGACGCTGTTTACAGGTCGCTACACACCTCCTCCAGGAGGTGGCAGTGTTGCACAGCTGGGTCCAGTCATGGCTCATGTATTATAGAACTGCTATAATTTAATAATCATAGAAAACTCAATATTAATGCTGTGGTCACAAGAGGAACGGTTCTGAAAACACTAGTATTAAACATATTTACTGCGACACAGATCAGCAGCAACACAACACAAAAGAATGTAACACACACATCCTGTGGGACCAGAGGAGACACACAAGAGCTGCCTCTGCTCCCCGGGGTCCTGCGTCACTCAGCATCACAGGATGAGCTCAGTGAGGAGGGGAGGGCTCTGTGTGATGTAAGAAAGACTAGAGCGGGATCGCGGCTGATAAACAATTATAAACAGTTTGAGAAAGATTTGGATAAAGAAGACGCTTGTCCAAATCTCAGTCACATATTTACACAGTCTGCAGCTGTTTTTTACAGTAGCTTCGCTCTCTCGGGTCTCTCCGGTCTCTCTGATCTCTCTCTCGGGTCTCTCTTTCGGGTCTCTGTCTCTGGTCTCTCTCTTTCTGGTCCCCTCCTGCTATGACTAGTCTTCCATACACAAGATGGCCGCCGCTCCCACCTCTAGCAGCCGTTGCCCTCTAGCCTATGTTACGGGGGATGACGTCACCCACAGATATGGCCCTGGAGGAAGTGGCCGAGGGAGGGGGCGGGCGTGTCCCTCTCCTCCCGAGCACACGACACCAGACACGGACTCAGCAGCATCAGCACCAGCGCAAACATCCAGGACCTGATCTCCATCCGCCCTGCCGCCCCTGCATCCTCCTCACGGACTCACTGACCCACGGACTCACGCGCACCATGGCCCCGGTGGACGCGATAGACGCAGAGCAGATCGGTAAGAGACGCAGACTCAGATACGTCAGAATAAAACAGTCAAACGTTAGGCCCATGTGACGTCACCATCCGAGTTATTGATCCAAGGATTTTAGGATTTCAGAGGGAGACCAGAGCCAGAAAGAGACCAGAGGGAGACTAGAAGGAGAATAGAGGGAGACCAGAGGGAGACCAGAACCAGAGAGAGACCAGAGGGAGAATAGAAGGAGACTAGAGGGAGACCAGAGGGAGACCAGAACCAGAGAGAGACCAGAGGGAGAATAGAAGGAGACTAGAGGGAGATCATCACCACAGTCCTTCTAGTTGGACACTTAACTGTCCAACAGACCCTCCTGCATCGGCAAGAAAAAAGTGAGAAACCTCAGGGAGACCCACATTTGAGAAAGGGATCCGCTCCGACACGCACGGACAGGCTTATGATCCAGGACCTAATCTACAGAATGTGGACCAGCGGCCGCAGAGCGTGGACAGGTCCGGTACAGGACTGATGCGCTCCCAGGCGAGTCGGGCAGGGCAGTCCGCAGGTGTAGATGGAGGAGGCCCCGTTGTTGAAACATGAAACAGACAATGGGACAACGGGTGAATAGCAATGAACACACTACAGTCAAAATCTTCATAATGCAGCTCGAGTAGGAAGGAGGAGAGTACTCAAGTTACCATACTTCTCCAGCAGGGGGCTCCCAACGCAGCCTTTCACGAGTCTCCCGACCATATGCTAAACTGAAGAGGACTATTTTAAGCTTAGCCTTCAATATAGAGACCGTGTCCGAACGAAGGTGAGACAGCAACAGCCACGGCTAGGCTTGCCCAGGCTACAACACTAAAGTATTGTGGATTACACACCAAGTGTGTAAACCAAACCAGACAAACCACCTAACCATTTGCTAAATTAAAGTAGAGTGCTTTAAGCCTGGCCTTGAATGTGGAGACCGTATCTGCTTTCTTAACATAAATGGGAAGCTGATTCCACAGTGAAGGAGCTTGGTAGCTAAATGCTCTGCCGCCGACAGTACTTTTTGAGACCTTAGAGACCACTAGATGTCTGGCGTTTTGCGAGCGCAGTGCTGAGCTTGGTTGATACGTTAGTGGCTTTGTATGTTAAAAGAAGGATTTTAAATGTTATTCTGTACTCCCCAGGGAGCCAGTGGAGTGATTTTAACACCGGAGTTATGTGCTCCCTCTTTTTGGTACCTGTTAAGATCCTTGCTGCTGTATTTTGAACAAGCTGGAAGCTCTTTAAAGAGAGAGACTAGAGAGAGAGATCAGAGAGCGAGACCAGAGGGAGACCAGATAGAGAGACCAGATAGAGAGACCAGAGGGAGACCAGAGGGAGACCAGAGAGAGACCAGAGAGAGAACAGAGGCCAAAAATACATGACGTGACGACTATAGTGATTGATGTTTGAGGGGTTCTCACTGCGATGGTTTGGTTCAGTCAAAACTGTGGCAGAGGTTTGTGTCTGTGCTCCTCAGGAATAAATGTCTCTTTCTGGTCTCTCTCTCTCTGGTCTCTCTCTGGTCTCTCGCTGGTCTCTCTCTCTGCTCTCTCTGGTCCCACTGGTCTTACTGCTCTTTCTGCTCCCTCTGGTCCTTACCATGTGTCTTGTCAGTGGCAGTCCCAGTGGGCGTGGCCGTGCTGTCGGTCTTGGGTCTGGTCTTCTCGGTCTCGGGGTTCGCGTGGATCTGCTGCCAGAGGAAGAGCTCCAAGTCCCAGAGTCCTCCCTTTAAGTTTGTGCACATGCTGAAGGGAGTGGACATCTACCCCGAGAGGACCGCAACATCCCACGACCACAACCTCACCGACGTCAACGGCAACTGCCCCCCCAGCCCCCCAGGAACCAAGACCAGCATGCACCTGGAGCTGGAGAACCGAGATCTCAATGGGAACTTCACCTGCACCAAGCCAGAGGTGAGACCAGAGGTGAGACCAGAGGGAGACCAGAGAGAGAGATCAGAGAGGGAGACCAGAGAGAGACCAGAGAGAGACTAGAGAGAGAGACCAGAGAGACCAGACAGACCAGAGACAGACCAGAGAGAGACCAGAGAGAGACCAGAGACAGAGAGAGACCAGAGAGAGAGACCAGAAAGAGAGACCAGAAAGAGAGACCAGAGAGAGATACCAGAGAGAGAGAGACCAGAGAGAGGGACCAGAGAGAGAGACCAGAGAGAGACCAGAGAGAGACCAGAGAGAGACCAGAGAGAGACCAGAGAGAGACCAGAGAGAGACCAGAGAGAGACCAGAGAGAGACCAGAGAGAGACCAGAGAGAGATCAGAGAGAGATCAGAGAGAGAGAGACCAGAGAGACCAGAGGGAGAGACCAGAGAGAGAGACCAGAGAGACCAGAGGGAGACCAGAGAGAGACAGTTGTTGACTTTGGAAGAGCAAAGTTTAACCTGTTTCCTTCGTGACTCATTTACTCTTTCTCTGTTTTTGAATAAACCTGAAATAGAGGCAGAATAATAATAATAAGTCTCTAAACTATGAACACACACCATCAACACACACCATCAAACACACACCAGCAACACATGTATAAGTAAAAGTACATGTATTAGTATAAGTACATGCATATACAGCACAGTGAGTCATCAGCTCTGAGGGTCCTTGTAGGACCTGTGCTATACTAATAAACCTGCCTAACCCCTGCCTCCCTGTGCTTCAGCTGAAGGTGCGAGGCTCCCCAGACCTGGAGCTGCCCTCCCCCCACAGAGGCTTCACCCAGCCTGCCTCCCCCTCCAGCACCAGCTCCAGCCAGGCCCCCACCCCCCTGCTGGAGAGCAGCTCTGCCCCGGGACAGGAGGGCCTGGCCGGGCTCGGAACTCTGCACTTCTCTTTAGAGTACCAGGGCGAGAAGAAGGCCTTCATCGTGCACATCAAGGTGAGGGCTTTAGGACCCCGAGGAGCACACCTGCTGTTTGTATGTGATACATCATGACCATATAAGGACTGGCCAATCAGAGGCCTTCATTTAGGGAGGAAATGCCAGCTGGCCTTAGCAACCGTCCTAGCAACATGTCTTAGCAACCGTCCTAGCAACACGTCTTAGCAACCGTCCTAGCAACACGTCATAGAAACATGTCATAGAAACATGTCTTAGCAACCGTCCTAGCAACCGTCCTAGCAACACGTCATAGCAACACGTCTTAGCAACCGTCCTAGCAACACGTCATAGCTCAGTGCAAGAAGGAGCAGGGCCTTTATCCCCACCGCTGTCAGATTGTACAAATAAGTCACTTTAAGTCACTTGCATTAGGACTGAAAACCTGCACTACTAATATATAATATATCCTGCATTTAACATGTTTGCACACTTCTTTCTTTTGCACAAACATTGAGTGTTTCTATCCATGCCAGATGTGACATGTACATTTATCCTGTGTGAGATCAAAAAAGTCTATCTTATCTTATCTTATCTTATCAACTGTCCTAGCAACACATCTTAGCAACACTGGTTCAAAACAAACATATTCAAACACTGTGGTGATGTCACACTGTGATGTCATACTCTGTCAGGCCACATTGGTCTCTCTCTATGGTCTCTATATTATAAATATATATTAAGGTGATTCTGAGCCTCTGGTCTGACCCCCCCTCCACAGGAAGCCCACGGCCTGACCCCCACAGACGGACACTCTCTGACCTCTGACCCCTACGTAAAGCTGACCCTGCTGCCGGAGAAGAAGCACCGTGTGAAGACCCGGGTCCTGAGGAAGACCCTGCAACCGGCCTTCGAGGAGACCTTCAGCTTCTACGGCCTCAGCGCGGCTGCAGTGGCTCAGCTCTCACTACACTTTGTGGTCCTCAGCTTTGACCGTTTCAGCCGCGACGAGGTCATCGGGGAGACCCTTGTCCCTCTGCACGGGATCGACCTCAGCGAGGGGCGGGTCCTGATGAGCCGGGAGATCCTCAAGAAGGACACCAAGGTAAGGACTGAGGCTGTAGATCCAGGACTAAGGACTGAGGTTGTAGACCCAAGACTGAGGCTGTAGACCCAGGGCCGAGGACTAAGGCTGTAGACCCAGGACTGAGGCTGTAGACCCAGATCTGGTTCCTGTCTGTGAAAGTTACACTGTATGGATTGGAAATGTAACACTGGGCACTTACAGGAAAAGGACTAAAGCAAAAACACACACACACACACACACAGCCCAGAAGGGGGGGTCATCTTCTGGTGCAGAGGAAACCAGACCCAGGGTTTTTGAAGCTCAGTGATCATTGTAATCTGTATGTGTGTGTGTGTAGAAGACCTGTGGAAGAGGAGAGTTGCTCCTGTCCTTGTGTTACCAGTCCACCACTAACAGCCTGAGTGTGGTGGTACTGAAGGCTCGCCATCTGCCCCGCAACGACCACAGCCAATCAGGTGAGAGCTCCTACTGTAAACCTCTGTATACAGTCTGTGTTAGCATTAGCATCTGTATACAGTCTGTGTTAGCATTGTCCATCTGTATACAGTCTGTGTTAGCATTGTCCATCTGTATACAGTCTGTGTTAGCGTTGTTTACCTGTATACAGTCTGTGTTAGCGTTGTTTACCTGTATACAGTCTGTGTTAGCGTTGTTTACCTGTATACAGTCTGTGTTAGCGTTGTTTACCTGTATACAGTCTGTGTTAGCGTTGTTTACCTGTATACAGTCTGTGTTAGCGTTGTTTACCTGTATACAGTCTGTGTTAGCGTTGTTTACCTGTATACAGTCTGTGTTAGCATTGTCCAAACCCAACTCTATCACTCCGGATGATCTTTAAGGCATAAATATGGTATATTATCTGTTTAACCCTGTGGTCTGTGTGTGTCTCTGTCTCTCTCCCTGTGTGTCAGAGCCCTTTGTGAAGGTGAACCTGTTCCATGGAAAACAGCGTGTGTGTAAGAAGAAGACTCATGTGAAGAAGTGTTCTCCAAACCCGGTCTTTAACGAGTTGTTTGTGTTCGAGCTGACCTCGGATCAGCTGCTGCGGGACGTGAGCGTGGAGCTGCTGCTGATCGACTCCCTCACCCCCTCCCTCACCCGCCTCACCCCCCACGGCCCCCGCCCCGTCCTGGGCCGCCTCCTCCTGGGCACCTCCTCCGCTGGGACCCCAGGGGAGCACTGGAGAGAGATCTGCGAGCATCCCAGACGCCAGATCGCCAAGTGGCACGCCATGACGGAGGACTAGACACGCGCCAGAGTGGACATGAGGGACATGAGGGAGACCTGAGGGTGTCTTTGCAGTTGCTGTCACTGGGAGTGAGAGAGAGGCCTCATATGAGTCTGACCATGCTACTCACAGGAGTAGCATGGTGTTAGCAAGATGTGAAAGACCTCTGACTCTGACCAGCTCCAACTCTTCTCTGGTCTCTCTCTGGTCTTTCTCTCTGGTCTCTCTCTCTGGTTTCTCTCTGGTCTCGCGCTCTGGTCTCTCTCTAGTCTCTCTCTCTGGTCTCTCTCTCTGGTCTCCCTCTGGTCTCCCTCTGGTCTCTCTCTGGTCTCTGACTCAGACACCATGGTACTCTGCATGTGCAGATTGTACATTTGTATGTATTGATGGAACTGTTACATTTCTTCCTTTTCTACTGCGGTGTCGGTCGTTACGAGGAGCTGAGATGGAGGAGAGGTTGCCATGGTAACATACAGACAGTATGGGGATCAGTCACCATGGCGACGCTCTCTCTGTATTCTTGGGTAACAGAGGCTCCACTGCATGTCTCTGGCACGGCCCCTCTCCTCCAGGGGCGCTCGACTCACACAGAGAGAGGTGCACGAAAGCACAGGGTCTGCCCGAGAGCTTCCAACTTAACTGTGGTTTTCTCTGAGGACTTTACAAAGCTGTTGATAACCCTACACAGATCAGAAAATCACACAATTCATTCACCGGAAATGTGATGGTAAAAAAAACAAAGAGTCATTGGTCCATAAGAGGGACCTGCAGTGTGAGAGAGAGAGAGAGAGAGAGACCTGCAGTGAGAGAGAGAGACCTGCAGTGTGAGAGAGAGAGACTTGCAGTGGGAGAGAGAGACCTGCAGTGTGAGAGAGAGACCTGCAGTGAGAGAGAGAGACCTGCAGTGGGAGAGAGAGACCTGCAGTGAGAGAGAGAGACCTGCAGTGTGAGAGAGAGAGACCTGCAGTGGGAGAGAGAGACCTGCAGTGAGAGAGAGAGACCTGCAGTGGGAGAGAGAGACCTGCAGTGAGAGAGAGCCAGGGACCTGCAGTGAGAGAGAGAGAGAGAGCACTGCAGTGACAGAGAGAGACCTGCAGTGGGAGAGAGAGACCTGCAGTGGGAGAGAGAGACCTGCAGTGTGAGAGAGAGAGCCAGGGACCTGCAGTGAAAGAGAGAGCCCTACAGTGTGAGAGAGAGACCTGTAGTGAGAGAGAGACCTGCAGTTGCTGACAATACTGAGCTGAGCCTAATAATAGTGGCAGACGTCACCTGGAAACTCGTCTCCTCGGCAACAGCTGCTGGGATCTTGTTTTTCTTCTTCCTACTTTGGATTCTGAGTCAGATCGAGCTCTAGAAAGAGAGGACTCTGTGTCTCTGTGTTCTGTCTCTGTGTGTTTTTACTGTGAGCACAAACCTCATAAAATGTTGCAGATTCTCGAAAGTTCTGGCTGTGGGTGTATTTTTTTTAACTAAAAGAGGAGTCATCTTCAGGACTGAGGCCGTGGACCCAGGACTGATCGCTGTAGACCGAGAACTGAGGCTGTAGACCCAGGACTAAATCCAGTTGGACTTTAGGCCTCTGCTCCGGTCTGAGGTCAGTGAAGAACAGATGTTTGAATGAACTGTTGTGTAACATTTGTCCCAAAACTGAAACAGCAGCGAGAGTCTAAATGAGCTCATTATCTCTCTCTCTCCTCTCTATCCTCTCTCTCCCCTCTCTCTCTCCCCCCTCTTTCCCTCCTCTCCCCCCCTCTCTCTCTGGAATAACACTGATGAGGTTAAACATTAGACTCAAGAATAAACTGAAGAAAAACATAGAGAAAAGAAAGACAAACACACACTCCATAAAACACATGATCAGGATCCTCTGTGTAAACAAGAGAGGGGGAGGCAGGGGGAGGGGGGGTAGATGGGGGGAGGAGAGAGAGAGGAGAGGGAGGAGAGAGATAGAGTAATTCAGTACAATGTATTCTTGAATTTCCCTAAATCACAACAGCATCATCTCAGAGACCATTTAAATCACCAACACAAATCAGACAGTTAAACCCAAAAAGAATATAGAACACATTTTGATAAATGTAATAAATGTTGATGAATGTCATACATGTTGATAAATGTCATACATGTAGAATGTTAAAGTGTCCTGCATCATCACAGTCCTTCTTGTTAGACACTAGCTGTAACAGACTCCTGCATCAGAGGAAAAACTTAAAGCAGAGAGATGGATAAATAGACATAAAAAACATAATAAAAAGTATTTATTAGAACTGTTTGTAAAAAAGGAGGAGTTCAAATGGAGCAAGAACCACTGGATTTTCTTCTTTTCTGAATATTTTCAAGTGAAGGAGGATTTACAGAGAGGGAGGGCCCAGACACACACACAAACACACACACAGACACACACACACACACACCCACAGACACAAACACACACACACACACACACACACACTCACAGACACACACACACACCCACAGACACAGACACACAGGACACTTGGACTTTGTGTCACAGCTCAATCTGTCACTGATGGTTTATAAGTGACTGTTGGGTTATGGACGTCCTGCAAGAAGAGGGGGGAGAAGGGGGAGGGAGGAGGACTTTCTTGGTCTTACAAACTCACACAGTACTCACTCTGTCAGAGCAAAGGATGTGGACGGAGGGTAAAGCCGAGGGGGGGGGCAGCAGGACTGGGGTGGTCCACAAACTGCTGCTGTGCACTGGGGACATGCTGCACCTGGACACACTGGTCCAAGGTACGACCCATGTGTCCTGTCTCCCTCTGGGCTCACTCTGGTCTCTCTCTGGTCTCTGGTCTCTGGTCTCTCTCTCTGGTCTCTCTTTCTGGTCTCTCTCTGGTCTCTCTCTGGTCTCTCTCTGGTCCCTCTCTCTGGTCTCTCTCTGGTCTCTCTCTGGTCTCTCTCTGGTCTCTCTCAGGTCTCTCTCAGGTCTCTCTCTGGTCTCTCTCTGGTCTCTCTCTGGCCTCTCTCTGGTCTCTCTCTGGTCTCTCTGGTCTCTCTCTGACTCGTGTTGTTGTCCTCAGACCAGTGGTGGCTCGTCCAGCTGCTCCTCTGGTCTCTGAGGGGGGTGTCCAGGGTCATTCTGGTCAACAACCCTCTAAGTGGAGCTCTGATCCTGGCCGCGCTCGTCTGGGCCTCTCCCTGGCAGGCTCTGCTGGGGGCAGTCGGGGTCCTGGTCTCCACACTCACAGCTGTCATCACGGGACAGGACAGGTGAGACTGAGGCTGTGGACCAGGACTGAGGCTGTAGACCAGGACTGAGTCTGTAGACCCAGAACTGAGACTGTAGACCAGGACTGAGGCTGTAGACCAGGACTGAGGCTGTAGACCCAGGACCGAGGCTCTAGACCCAGGACCGAGGCTGTATCCAGGGCTGAGGCTGTTGACCCAGGACTGAGGCTGTAGACCCAGGACTGAGACTGTAGATCCAGGATCCAGAACTGAGGCTGTAGACCCAGGACCAAGGATGTAGACCCAGGACTGAGGTTGTAGACCCAGGACTGAGGCTGTAGACCCAATCTGATGGTCTTCTGCAGGGGACAAGTCCGTGGTGGTCTCCATGGTTTCAATGGGATGCTGGTCTCTCTGCTCATTGGACACTTCAGTGCTGAAGAGGAGTGGTACTGGCTCCTACTGCTGCCTGTGTGTGTGTGCTCAGCAACCAGGTGAGACACACACATACATACACATGTATACACACAGACGCACACGCATGTATACACACACACACGAGTACACACAGACGAACTATCGCGAACTATCTAAATGACGTCACTAAGACACGCCCCCGCCGCCTGTCAACTCCCGCCCACATGTTTCGGACAAACACTGCCGAAATGAATCAAATACCACTTGTTCCACCATCAAACCATCAGGGATCATAGTATAGACCAATTAAAACGTTGGCTTGAATGTCGTGGTCTGTAACTAACTGGTAGAACATTTGAGTTGATAAAAAGGTAATGGTGAGGATTATGCTAACATTATCTTGTCATTTAAATTGCAATGCTAGCGCCTTCTTTGTTTATTTTGCTGTGATTAACTTTCATTTATCAAGTTTTTTTTGCACTATCCACCCTGTAATAAGTTTGATCATTAGTTAGCTACTGTCAGCTGATATTATACATAGTTCCCACAGACCAATGAATGTCACATGACCTCCTCGGAGACGCCATCTTTGATGGCACGCTGCTGTGTTTGTGCATTCCATTAAACAGAAGAATGAGAATAAATGTAGATATTCAAACGCAAATTGGAAAAAAAGGGCAACTTTTGAGCAAATAATTGTATATTAATACAATGGCACCACAGTTTAACGTGCTACGGACATGTTTTACATATTTGATCAAATTATGCAGCAAAAATTAACAAGCAATGCAAACATTTCTCAAAAACTTTAGATTTAATACCAGTTGGAGCTCCATTTAATTATTTTAATTATATTAACAATTAATTTAATTAATGCTAATGCCACACGGACACTCTGGATTGCTGTTATTGTTTATTTCCGCGTTTTTGACCGTATGTTTTGGTGAATGGTGGGCAACTGATTTTTCCAGGCGTAAAGAGCAGTTTATTTTATGACACAGATCTTTTTACAGAAGCAATGCTGTTTGTGAACATTGTTTTAGCCCACCATAGAACTATTATCTATTTAATACATTTACGTTGCCCTCGAGAGCCTCGGACGCGACACCGATCCTCCTCATAATAAAGTAATCTAACGCTAAATAATGAAACTCTCAAGTTACCAGATATCAGCATACACAAGTTAGTACTGAGTAAATTACGTCTGTCAACACATTATAAGATACGATACGCACCTGACACAAAGTGCTCCGAGCATATTCTTGCGTGTTTTGAGGGAGTTTCTTGCCTGTTTATCTTCGCAAGCCATAACCTCCGTGGTTGTTCTGACAAAAGCTTAGTCTTCTCACATTCATGAAGTCTAATGATGGGTATACTGTAAAATCCAAGTTTAACGGAACCTCCGGCACGATTAGAACATCCATTGACCCAGCAGGAGACGACCATTTTCAACTTTATCACACGTTTCAGCTTCTTTTTCTATTTTTTGGCCCACAGAATGCCAAGACAAATGGCGCCGGGTCGGCAAATCCCCGTATGTAGTGACGTCATGTGGGAACTATGTATAGAGATATCTCACGTGACGTCACGATGCCTCGAACTCGCGGGGCATCCGCCATACTGGAGGACAAGCAAACGCTGTATGGTAGTGGCGTGCACCCGGGACCGCATAAACATGTTCAACATTTTTGCCGTTTTTGGCTGCAGCAAAAGGAGAGACAGGGAAAATAAGTTGTGTTACCGACTGCCAGCCGTCCTTACTTCACACGGCTCAAAAACAGAAGACATCTCAAAGAAACGAGAGAGAAATGGCACAACCATACGCAACAACAAAAAACTAATAGCCCCCAGAGCGCCCGAATATGCTCGGATCATTTCATTTCTGCTAAGTGAAATCAATTTGATGGCGGATTTAGTGTTATTCCAAAACAAACAGAAGTTTAAGGATAAAACATATCTGTCTGACTGCAACGTGGGGTTGCTCCATAGACTGTAGCTTAGCTTGTAGCATAGCTGTTATATATTTGGTCTCACACAGGACCTCACCCGGTTCACAGGGTATCTGACTTACCGAAGGCCAGCAGACATGTGAACGACTGAGCCGTGCTCCAGGGTGCCCCGTACTAGTATTTATTAATAAAATATACGGCTCCTCACAGTAGACGCAGAAAGCTCCATTGATTTGAATGTAATCTCATTATTTCCACTGCAGTGTAGCCACACATAGATCAATGGTGTAACAATAAACACATTAAATGTTAATCGGAGAATACATTATACATATACATTCTTAATACACGTGCACAGAGGTTTTCAGAATTTTCTGTTCACGTTTTCATGAAAAAACACTGTTTTAATGCGACAATATGCGACCGCGGTAAACCTGGATGTAACGATAAACATTAATAATACATTTTAGGATGCATTTCCAGAGGATCTGATTCATGAATTTAGGTTGAGTATATATTTGGGTCACTAACTGCAGAAGTTTCAAATTCTCTGTTCAGTTTTCATGTAGTTCGAGAGAGTTCTAGTTTTGAACGTCCAGTTATAGATAGCTAGCAGGGCTGTTACTCGCCGAGGTTGTCCTCCAGTATGGCTGCAGTGGCTGCTAGTCACGTGACCGTAGGATCCCTCTATAATAGATCCATGGGGTCACAACGGGCTACGCCACTACTGTCTCTGAGAGAGAAACTATCGGAGCCACACTCAATAAACGCAAAAGACAATCAATCGACACATGTAAATGTTAATGGGAGAATATATTATACACACATTCGTAACACAAGTGCACGGAGGTTTTCAGAATTATCTGTTATGGTTTTCATGACAAAAATACTTTTTTAATGCGACTAAAGCGATAGCTTTTTTGAAGTAGGTTAGCTATCCTCACTGTTACTCGCCTGCCACGGGAAAACCTTTGGGAACTATTTTCTTTGCAGTCATTAAATGAACCTTTTGGCATTAATAAAAGTGACTTAAGTTTATTTTGTGTGTTCAGTTGGTACAAAGCGTATAACGCGCTTCGTCTGTACTTATTTTCCGATAGTCACGAAGTTGATAAAAAGTCACAAAGTTGAAGAAAATGTGTGAGAATTGTATACATTCTGGATTAGGACAAACAATACTAATATGGATTGATGGGGTAAATGGTATAATGAGAAAGTTTGTGCTAACTACATTCAGAAGAGCTCTTGAGCTGTTAGTATTAGATAGCAATATGGCCTACGTGCAGGACTATACAAGGACTCTGATTATTTTGACTATGATGGGCACTGTCTCTGTGTGACACGTACGTCTTTCGATGTGTGATGTGACAATGACTATATAAACTGTGTACTGACTTTATTCTGTCTGAGAAAAGGAAACAATGGAAACCACTGGAACTTGAGAGAAACTTAAATAAACTTCCAGAGTTTGGCGCACCACGATCCGTCTCTGTCTGCTTCATTCCTGACACCCCCACAGTTGGTCCAGCTTCAAATGTTTTGAACAAATATTAGTCCCTCTTAACATTTTGAGAAATTCTGCCGACCACAAGCACGAACCCACCTCTTGCACTTGTCCTGGTCTGGTCCTGGTCTTATCTGGTCCTGGTCTGGTCCGATGGTGTGGTTTAACGAACGGGTTGAATGTAACTACTTTCATATAGTCCTTTTCAGAGTATCTGAAATCGCTCCGACAAGCACCATAACTGCAGTGTTTTGTTGTCACCATGATTCAATGATTTAAATACACACGCGTATGTGGACATGGAGCATGACTATCGGTCGGCCTCGAAGAGATTCTGGCAAACCGTCCGGCGCCTCAGGAGGGGGAAGCAGTGCTTTATTGTCGGACGGTGGAAGGAATACTTCGAGGTTCTCCTCAATCCCCCCGTGACGTCCTACGTCCCGGAGGCAGAGGCTGAGGATGTTGGGGCGGATACTTCTATCTCCCTGGCTGAGGTCACCAAGGTGGTTCGCAGCCTCCATGGTGGCAAGGCGCCGGGAGTGGATGAGATCGGTCCTGACTATCTTAAGTCTCTGGATGTTGTGGGACTGTCTTGGCTGACACGTCTCTGCAACATCGCGTGGCGATTGGGGGCGTTGCCAATGGAGTGGCAGACCAGGGTGGTGGTCTCTCTCTACAAGATGGGGGACCGGAGGGTGTGTTCCAATTATCGTGGGATCACACTCCTCAGCCTCCCCGGTAAGGTCTACTCCAAGGTACTGGAGAGGAGGCTACGGCCGATGGTCGAATCTCGGATTCAGGAGGAGCAGTGTGGTTTTCGTCCCGGTCGCGGAACACTGGACCAGCTCTATACTCTCCATCGGATACTCGAGGGTTCATGGGAGTTTGCCCAACCTGTCCACATGTGCTTTGTGGATTTGGAGAAGGCGTTCGACCGTGTTCCCTGGGGTGTCCTTTGGGGGGTTCTCTGGGAGTACGGGGTCCGGGATCCTCTGCTGAGGGCCATCCGGTCACTGTATGACCGGAGCCAGAGCTGTGTTCGCATTGCCGGCAGTAAGTCAGACCTGTTCCCGGTGCATGTTGGCCTCCGCCAGGGCTGCCCTTTGTCACCAGTTCTGTTCACCTTGTTTATGGACAGAATTTCTAGGCGCAGCCAGGGGCCGGAGGGGTCCGGTTCGGGGACCTAAGGATTTTATCCCTGCTTTTTGCGGATGATGTTGTCCTGTTGGCTCCAACAAACCAGGACCTGCAACATGCACTGGGACGGTTTGCAGCCGAGTGTGAAGCGGCTGGGATGAGAATCAGCACCTCCAAATCCGAGGCCATGGTGCTTTGCCCTCTCCAGGTGGGGGGGGAAGTCCTTCCTCAAGTGGAGGAGTTCAATTATCTCGGGGTCTTGTTCACGAGTGAGGGAAGGATGGAGCGTGAGATTGACAGGCAGATCGGTGCAGCGTGCGCAGTGATGCGGTCGCTGTATCAGACCGTTGTGGTGAAGAGGGAGCTGAGCCAAAAGACAAAGCTCTCGATTTACCGGTCAATCTTCGTTCCCTCCCTCACCTATGGTCTTGAGCTTTGGGTAATGACCGAAAGAACAAGATTGCGGATACAAGCGGTCGAAATGAGCTTCCTCCGCAGAGTGGCTGGGCGCTCCCTTAGACATAGGGTGAGGAGCTCAGTCACACGGGAGGAGCTCGGAGTAGAGCCGCTGCTTCTGGCTCGGGCATCTGTTCCGGATGCCTCTTGGACGCCTCCCTGGGGAGGTGTTCCGGGCACGTCCCACCGGGAGGAGGCCCCGGGAAAGACCCAGGACACGCTGGAGGGACTATGTCTCTCAGCTGGCCTGGGAACGCCTTGGGGTCCCCCCGGACGAGCTGGAGGAAGTGTGTGCGGATACGGAAGTGTGGGTGTCTCTCCTTAGACTGCTGCCCCCGCGACCCGTCAACGGATGAAACGGAAGAAAATGGATGGATAGATGGCGTATCTGAAGAACACAGTAGTACTCAACGAGTCGTACACAATGTTTGTCCGAAACATGCGCGCATGCGCAGTCATCGGAGCTATTTTTAGCACATTTCGGAAACCGGACAGTGCCCTATAAACACAGAATCCTCGTCTTCCGCTGTGTCTTCTGAAAAGTTAAAAATCAGGAGCGCTAACATTGAGCTAGTGTGTTAGCATTGAGCTAGAGGGCTAGCATTGAGATATAGGGTTAGCATTGAGTTAGAGGGTTAGCATTGAGCTGATGTGTTGGCATAGAGCTAATGTGTTAGCATAGAGCTAATGTGTTAGCATTAAGCTTGTAGGTTAGCATTGAGCGAGAGGGTTAGCATTGAGCTAGAGGGTTAGCATTGAGCTAGAGGGTTAGCATTGAGCTAGAGGGTTAGCATTGAGCTAGACGGTTAGCATTGAGCTTGTAGGTTAGCATTGAGCTATCAAACCCAAGCCCCACTGATCCAAGATGGCAGCCTGTTCACATCAGTGACTTGTGCTCTCTAGGTTCTCTGTCAGGGTCTCTGTAGGTTCTCTGTCAGGTTCTCTGTCAGGGTCTCTGTAGGTTCTCTGTAGGTTATCTGTCAGGTTCTCTGTAGGTTCTCTGTAAGGTTCTCTGTTGGTTCTCTGTCAGGTTCTCTGTAGGTTCTCTGTCAGGTTCTCTGTAGGTTCTCTGTCATGTTCTCTGTCAGGTTCTCTGTAGGTTCTCTGTTGGTTCTCTGTCAGGTTCTCTGTAGGTTCTCTGTCAGGTTCTCTGTCAGGGTTTCTGTTAGGTTCTCTGTCAGGTTCTCTGTCAGGGTCTCTGTCAGGGTCTCTGTCAGGTTCTCTGTAGGTTCTCTCTCAGGGGCTCTGTCAGGGCCTCTGTAGGTTCTCTGTCAGGTTCTCTGTCAAGTTCTCTGTCAGGGTCTCTGTCAGGTTCGCTGTCAGGTTTTCTGTCAGGTTCTCTTTCAGGTTCTCTGTCAGGTTCTCTGTCAGGTTCTCTGTCAGGGTCTCTGTCAGGTTCTCTGTCAGCTTCTCTGTAGATTCTCTCTCATGGTCTCTGTCAGGGTCTCTGTCAGGGTCTCTGTCAGGTTCTCTGTCAGGTTCTCTGTCAGGGTCTCTGTCAGGTTCTCTGTCAGGTTCTCTGTCAGGTTCTCTGTAGGTTCTCCCTTTGGTTCTCTGTCAGGTTCTCTGTCAGGTTCTCTGTCAGGGTCTCTGTAGGTTCTCTGTAGGTTCTCTGTCGGTTCTCTGTCGTGTTTGTTTAGTTACACAGAGTTCTAACATGTTTCTGTGTAGCGTGAGTATATTCTGCAGGACCATAGCGCCCCCTGTGGCCATGGGTGGGACAGATATAAGATAATACAGGATCCAGAGCAGTGGGGGCGGGTCCCGGCTCAAAAGTGGCCAAATGACGTGCGCTGACATTATACAATAAGAATTAGCAAATGCTAACATATAGCATCTTCATACCTCTCGAAAACGTCTTTACAGGATGGTCCAAAAGTTGGCTCTTGGCCCAAAGCTCTGTTCCACATGTGTGTCAATGCTGAGGGGAGTGAATTTCTTTGGACCAGTCTAGTTTAGTTGTTGTGAATTTTTGAAGGCGCTCGTTAAATGAATGGGGCTCGCGCCGGCTGACGTATGCGCAGATGCGCTATTTCTTGGGCTGGGACTCGATTTAAAAAAATGTATCTATTTAATTAGAGGCTTTGTAATTAATTAATCGGAATTAATCGCATTTTAATCGCATATAAATATTTGACCTGAAAACAGTGAGAAGTAACACATATTACGCAAGCGCGGGCGGGAGCCAGCTGCAGAGTTGCATCGCTCCCCCTCTCCTTCCCACTTTTCTTACTTTTTAGCAGACTTATTTTTATTTCTTCTGTAACTGCTGTTATAATACAGTTGGGTGAAGCTAGTGCCGTGTTTTTCCACCGTTGTCCCGATCATAAATGTGATTATACCTGTAACCGGAGATGTGCCCACGCGCTCCCATTGTTTACACCCGGGACCAGCTGCTGGCGCTGCGGCGAGCTGAGGATCCCGGGGACAAACTCCAGTAGAGCACAATTTTTGGCCGAACGGCAGAGATAAGCAAGGACTCATTCATTCATTCTCATCCCTTTATTGTCCATTTCTGCGTCAGGGGGGTGGCAATCAGAGTTGCCACCCAATTCACTAATTCACAGATAAGCGTGACTACTTCTGTTAATATTTACAGTCTATGGCTCCAGATGTTATAATAGATCCACAGTCTGCTGTCAGAGCGACATCAGACTGTGTGACTTTTAGAAGAAAAAGTTTAACTAGAAGGTGTGTCTCTGTACCAGTGAGCTGCTGGTCTATGCTCTATGGTGTTAGGTCCCTGTGTCCCTGTGTACCAGTGAGCTGCTGGCCTCCAGCTTGTCCTCGGTCCTGGATCGCTGGGACCTCCCGGTGTCGGTCTTTCCCTTCAACATGATCATCCTCCTGTTCCTGCTCTGCACCGGTCCTCAGCACCTGTACTTCCCCCGAGTCTCGGTCCTCCCCCCAGGGCTCCTCCCCCCAGGACTCCTCCCCCCAGGGCTCCTCCCCCCAGGAGCAGCTGAGGCCAACATCACAGAGCTGAGCATCATACAGGTGTGTGTGTGTGTATGTGTGTGCGTGTGTCTGTGTGTGTGTGTTCTCCAGATGGAGCTGCAGTTATGACTCAGCTGTTTCCTAGCAACAGAGGATGTTTTCTGACTCTGTAATAAAAGAAAATCAAACGGTCTGAGTGTCCTCCTCTGTCCTCTCTCCTCCTCTGACCTCTGACTCCTGTCCTGTCAGTGGGAAGCAGCCCTGGCATTTCCCACAGCAGTGTGTTTGTGTGGTCAGGTGCTGCGGGGCGTCCCAGTGGGAGTGGGACAGATCTACGCCTGCTCCTCCCTAGGCCCTTCCCTCCTCATGTTGGGGGCCGTGCTCCTCTACTCTCCTCTACTGGCCGCACACGCCCTGCTGGGCTCTGCCATCGGGACGCTGGCCGGTCAGAAACATGCTAACATATACAGATGCTAATGCTAACAGGCTGTATACAGATGCTAATGCTAACAGACTGTATACAGATGCTACATGTGATGTCACACTGTGGTGATGTAACACAGTGGTGATGTCACACAGTGGTGATGTCACACTCTGGTGATGTCATACTGTGGTGATGTCTCACTGTGATGTCATACTGTGGAGATGTCACACTGGTGATGTCACACTGTGGTGATGTCTCACTGTGATGTCACACTGTGGTGATGTCACACTGTGATGTCACACTCTGTTCCAGGCCTGTCCATGGCAGTACGTCCCTCCTGTCTGTACTCGGGGCTCTCTGGGTTTAACGGGGCCCTGGGCTGCATGGCTGTGGGGGGCCTCTTCTTCACTTTCAGCTGGAGGACACACCTGTTCTCCATTGCCAGTGGTACACATATACACACACATGTACACACACATACACACACACACACACACACACACACACAATGACCCTGTGTTCTCTTTGCAGCCTTCTTCTCCGCCTACATGGACATCGCCCTCAGCAACCTTCTGGGGACAGTACGTGTCCATACACTTGTCTGTGTGTGTCTGTGTGTGTGTGTGTCTGTGTGTCTGTCTTTGTGTGTGTATATCTGTTTGTATGTGTCTGTGTGTGTGTGTGTGTGTGTGTCTGTGTGTATCTGTCTGTGTGTGTGTGTGTGTGTATGTTTGTTTGTGTGTGGAGTGGATTTCAGAGTGTTGGTGAGCACTTCTTCATCTCTTGACTGTTCACAGATGGGGCTCCCAGCATGCAGTTGGGCGGCGACCATCGTAACCACCCTGATGATGCTGATGACCGGGACTTTAAACACATACCGCATTCCTATTGGCCAGGTCGGCAGTCCCGAGCTCAACCTCCGCTCTCACAGCCAATGGGAGGCCAGCAAACCTGAGCCTGACCTCCGCTCTCACAGCCAATGGGAGGCCAGCATTCCCACAGACAGAGAGAGTACTGATGTGTAGAAAGGGCGCCCCCTTGCAGGCAATCCATAGAACTACCCAAATATGAACCACAAACAAAACAACCTCAGGATCCAAACCCTCATGGTCCAAACCTTCATGGTCCAAACCTTCATGGTCCCAGCACATGGACGTCTGAGTTTATTTTACTTTCATCTGTAGTTATCGTTCTGTTGTTGTTTTATCTGTTTTCTGGAGGGGCCTCTGGGACCTGGTCTGGACCTGGTGGAGGTCTGGGGCCTCCTCTTTCCTTTCTACTCCTGGTGTTGACAGCTCCTCAGATGGTTCTACCTGCAAGCAGCCTCATGTTGTGTGTGTCTGCGTTGTCTCTTTTTGTGTCTGTGTGTGTGTTATCTGTACGTGTCTGTGTGTTGTCTCTTTGTGTGTCTGTGTGTCATCTCTGTGAGTGTGTGTGTCTGTATGTGTATCTGTGTGTGTGTGTGTTGTCTGTGTGTGAGCGTGTTATCTGTACATGTCTGTGTGGGTGTGTGTTGTCTCTTTGTGTCTGTGTGTGTCATCTCTGTGTGTGTGTCTGTATGTGTATCTGTGTGTTATCTCTGTGTGTGTGGGGGATTCTTTCTAATCTACAGTAATGTATTTGGTCTTGATTTTTTTGTATGAAAAGTGCTTTATGAATAAAATTTTATTTGAATCATTTAACAACCTTCTACGTACACACAGACAGACACACACACATACACACAAAACAGACAGACACACATAATACACACACAACACACACACATACACACACAAAACAGACAGACACACATAACACACAACAGACACACACATAACACACACACACAACAGACAGACACACATAACACACACACGCAACAGACAGACACACGTAATACACACACACTCACACACGCGCGCACACACACATACACACACACACAGGGAATGTTCTCAAAGTCAGGATTAAACAACATATGAATCATTTATTTTCAATATTTGTAAAGACAGAAAATCAAGTACATGCCTTTTGACGGAAACGAGAGAGACCAGAGAGAGAGAGACCAAAGAGAGAGAGACCAGCGAGAGAGACCAGAGAGAGACCAGAGAGGGACCAGTGAGAGACCAGAGAGGGACCAGTGAGAGACCAGAGAGAGACCAGAGAGAGACCAGTGAGAGACCAGAAAGAGAGAGAGAGACAGTGCATGCTTCTCAACCAAACTAGAAGACGTCTCTGTAAAGAACAGTAAATGACGTCAGTAAAAAGGAAAGTACAAAGATCCGCTTTGGTAAAAAGGTGACATTCAGGAGAGTGAGCCTCTGTCGTGCACTAAACTTCTACAACAGTTTTCACAACAACTCATCAGAATGGACCCACCCGGACTCCGAGAGAGGTCATGCATGTAAACAGATGGAAGAGTGTGCGAGGACCGGAGCGCGACTAGTCCTGTCACAGCCCACAGAGGACCGGAGCGCGACTAGTCCTGTCACAGCCCACAGAGGACCGGAGCGCGACTAGTCCTGTCACAGCCCACAGAGGACCGGAGCGAGACTAACCCTGTCCAGCCCACAGAGGACCGGAGCGAGACTAACCCTGTCACAGCCCACAGAGGACCGGAGTGAGACTGACCCTGTCACAGCCCACAGAGGACCGGAGCGAGACTAACCCTGTCACAGCCCACAGAGGACCGGAGTGAGACTGACCCTGTCACAGCCCACAGAGGACCGGAGCAAGACCAGCCCTGTCACAGCCCACAGAGGACCGGAGCGAGACTAGCCCTGTCACAGCCCACAGAGGACCGGAGTGAGACTGACCCTGTCACAGCCCACAGAGAACCGGAGCAAGACCAGCCCTGTCACAGCCCACAGAGGCCTGGAGCGAGACTGACCCTGTCACAGCCCACAGAGGCCTGGAGCGAGACTAGCCCTGTCACAGCCCACAGAGGACCAGAGCGATTCAAACCCTGTCACAGCCCACAGAGGACCAGAGCGAGACAAACCTGGTCCTGGTCCTTTTCCTTGATTAGAGCCTCAGAGGGGGGGGTCTGTGCCCAGTCAATATCTGGTCTTTGTGTGTCCCGGACAGAGGTGCATCTGTGTGCAATGGACAAGGTTTGAAAATCAACAGCTCCAGTCCTCACTACGCCACTAGTGAGAAGACTCTGTGCTCTTTGTGGTTATCTTTGTGTGTTTGTGCGCTCTGTGTGTGTGTATCTTTGTGTGTTTGTACGCTCTGTGTGTGTGTGTGTTCAAGGTGGGAATTGGCAAAAATGTGAGGATTCTATAGTACTGCAATATTTTGGCCACAATTCAGTATTATTGCATTTTGTAACATATTGCGATACAAACTGTGATTCTGTGATATATTGTGATTCATGTCCCTCATATTAATCAGACTTTACAAACATTGAGAAAAATAAGACATTTATGGTCTGTACATGAACTGAAGCAAACACTAGAGGGTAGAGCAAAAACCTTATCCGTGGACCTTCTTACAGACAGACATCATCGAGTCACAAAAACCCCAGATGGAAATGACCAGAGTCCATACTTATTTAATAAAATATTGCAATAGTTTGCTCTACTGTATCCAGTTAATTGCGCAAACCAAATATTGCAATACTGAACAGAATCGATTTTCCCCACTACTAGTGTGTATGTGAGTGTGCTCTGTGTGTGTACATGTGTGTGTGTCTAAAGCAGGCGTCCCATCACCACCCCCTCCCTGCTCCTGGCCTCCCCCCTCAGGATCTCCAAAAACCCCAGTTTGGTGAGGAACTCAAGGCGCTGACGGTCAGTGGGCTGGACCTCACAGAACACACCTGGGGAACCTGCCAAACACACAAAAACAAGGTTAGTGTGTGTGTGTGTGTGAGTGTGTGACAAGGTAAGTGTGTGTCCGTGCGTGTGTGTATGTGCATGTATGTATACCTGTGTGTATAAGATTTGCTTTATTTATCTCACATAGGAGAAATTTACATTGTATGTGTATGTGTGTTTGTCTGTGTGTGTAGTATGTGTGTGTTGACAGGGAAGGAGTAGTCATATGAGGGTCATATACTAAGACCACATGGGGCTGAGAAGCAGTGAATACTTGTGGGGACCTATGTCCCTTTAATACACTTTAGGTCATATGAGTAATATTATGGGGACATCAAGTTTGGATAAGATTCTTCAGTGTGTGCCTGTAGTATGACTGTATGAGGACTCACGTTGGCCTTCAGAGTGTGTGTGTATGTATGTGTGTGTGTGTGTGTGTCGATGTGGGGACTCACATTAGCCTTCAAATTGTGTGTGTATGTGTGTATGTATGTGTGTCTGTGTGGGGACTCATTGGCCTTCAGAGTGTGTGTGTGTATTTATGTGTGTCTGTGTGGGGACTCACCGTTGGCCTTCAGAGTGTGTGTGTGTGTGTGTGTGTGTGTGTGTGTGTGTGTGTGTGTGTGTGTGTGTGTGTGTGCATGTATGTGTGTCTGTGGGGACTCACCACTGGCCTTCAGAGTGTGTGTGTTTGTGTATATGTGTCTGTGGGGGGACTCACCATTGGCCTTCAGAGCAGTGAGCAGAGCCGTCAGTAGAGTGCGACTCACACTGACGTCCACCAGCTCTGGGAGAGCATCGAGGCGCAGCTGTGAGGGGAAGTGATAGAGGAGGGAGTCTGGGTACTCCCCCAGGTCCTCCTGCAACCCCCCCACTGACTCCTACACGGAAAGAGATAGACCCACACACACACACAGAAAGACAAACACACTGTTAAAAAAGGATGTTTCCTCCAGTTGTGTCCAGGTCAAACAGAGTGTAGTGCTTCTCCTGATTCCCGCGGTCTCCTACCTGAAGGGGGAGGGCTCGGGGGGGGTACTTGTCCCTCATGGCGGGGAACCAGCTGGCCTGACACCTCTTATTGAAGGAGCGCACGTCCTGGACCCCCAATACACATCCACACACCCCCAGCTCGTCCTCCAGGATGAAGCAGTACTCAGGACACAGGGCCAGGCAGGCACCCAGGCACCTGCAGCAGAGAGCACAGGGACAGAGCTCAAGGACCAGGAACCAGCAGAGAGCACAGGGACAGAGTTCAGGGACCAGCAGCAGAGAGCTCAGGGACCAGCATAACACGAGGAGAACGACAGGAGAGGACCAGGATAACACTAGGAGAAAGAGAGTATGAATAAAAGCGGTTTATTCGTATATCGCACCTGTCTCCGATGAGGTCCGGGTGAGAGCTGGTTTCGCTCTGAGTGTGTAACTGACGAACCATACGATACAACTCCACCTACAGACGCACAACAAACCACTGTTACACAACCCTCCACTTGCAGACGCACAACAAATCACTGTTACACAACCCTGCAACTAGTAGCAGCTGCGGCAACTGCACTGTTGTATACAAACATGCATGCTCTCTCCCCTCTTATCTCTCTCTCTTTCTCATTTTTCTTTTTTCTCTCCTCTCCTCTCTTCCGTCTCTCTCTACTCTCTCTCTCCTCTCTCTCTCTCGACTCTCTCTTCTCCCTAATCCCTACAGGAGTCATGGTGAGGGACTTGCCTTGTCCTTGCTGAGGTACGGTCTGATGTTGTAGAGGCGGGAGGTGGGGAACAGCGGGGGAGGGTGTGTGAAGAGCTCAGTGCTGCCCCCTGCTGGGAGGAGCATCTGCAACACAGGAGTTGGTACACAACATTATTGGGAGCTGTATGTAAGAGAGATCCTTTATGGTCCGTCACATGGTCCTACACATGGTCCCACACATGGTCTCACACACATGGTCCCTCACATGGTCTCGCAGACATGCTCTCACACATGGTCCCTCACATGGTCTCACGCATGGTCCGACACAAGGTCTCACGCATGGTTCGACATATGGTCTCACACATGGTCCCACACAAGGTCTCACGCATGGTTCGACATATGGTCTTACACATTGTCCGACACATGGTCCCACACATGGTCCGACACGTGGTCTCACACATGGTCCAACACGTGGTCTCACACATGGTCCCTCACGTGGTCTCACATATGGTCCGACACATGTTCTCACGCATGGTCCGACACAAGGTCTCACGCATGGTTCGACATATGGTCTCACACATGGTCCCACACAAGGTCTCACGCATGGTTCGACATATGGTCTTACACATTGTCCGACACATGGTCCCACACATGGTCTCACATGCTGTCACACATGGTCCCTCACATGGTCTCACACATGGTCTCACACATGGTCTCGCACATGTAAGTAAGTAAGTAAGTAATCTTTATTTATATACCGCCTTTCACAGACCAGAGTCACAAAGCGGTTTACAATTGTAATTATTATTATTTTTGGGCATTCGTCCTTTCACTCCACACAGAGATGTGAGCGAGGTCGCCAGTACAGGGGAGGGGAAACCTCATAGAGGAAACCTACGCAGACACGGGGAGAACATGCAAAGTCCACTCAGAAAGGCCCTGGTCCGACCGGGATTCGAACCCAGGACCTTCTTGCTGAGAGGCGAGAGTGCTATACACTCAGCCACTGTGCCGCCCCGGTCTCACACATGGTCTCACACATGGTCCTACGGGGGAAATGCCAGTGTTGCATCACACAGACACACATATTCACAGATATAGACCATACCTGCACCTCTCCAGACACGCCCCCTTTGAAGACCCAGGGCTCTGACTCCACCCCCTGCTCTCCCCCCGGACTCTGGCCACACCCTGTGGACACACACCAGGTCAGGACAGGTGTGTGTCTGTGTGTGTGTGTCTGTGTGTGTATGTGTGTGCGTGTGTGTGTGTGTCTGTGTGTGCGTTTGTGTATGTGTGTGTGTGTGTGTGTCCTCACAGTGGAAGCAGTCCTTCCATGAGCCCAGGGCTGAGTTGTCACTCATCACTCGTCCGTCTGAAACAGAGTCAGTGAGTCACTCTAACTTACTTAGTCCCTCTTGGTTCTTCTTAGTCCCTCTTGATCCTGGTTTTATCCAGGCCGAGCTGGTACTAAAGTGTTCTAACTGACAGTAATTGGTCAGAGTGCTGCTGGAAGCCATGGTTACCAAGGAATTTCCCTAAATAGTGGTTTGTTGCAGAGAGGCAGAGAGCTACTTTCCCAGGACGATAAAGGCAGAGAGCTCCTTTCCCAGGACGATAAAGGCAGAGAGCTAGTTTCCCAGGACGATAAAGGCAGAGAGCTAGTTTCCCAGGACGATAAAGGCAGAGAGATAGTTTCCCAGGACGATAAAGGCAGAGAGCTACTTTCCCAGGACGATAAAGGCAGAGAGCTAGTTTCCAAGGATGTTAAAGACAGAAAGCTACTGTCCCTAGACGATAAAGGCAGACAGCTACTTGCCCAGGACGATAAAGGCAGAGAGCTATTGCCCAGGACAATAGAGGCAGAGAGCTACTTTCCCAGGACAAAAAAGGCAGAGAGCTACTGCTACCGGCTCAGGGGGAAGGCACAGGGGGGAGGAGGTCTCACCCAGCCAGCAGACGAAGGCCCTGGCCAGCAGGGCCGTGTTGCGCAGGTCCCACACATACGGGTAAAGGTCGTAGAGCACTGCACGGTTAGCTCCGCCCACAACGCTACAGTGAAGATCTGCTATGTCCTGACAGAGGGAGAGGAAGCGTCTGGACTTCTCTCTCCACTCCTCCACCTGAGAGACCAGAGAGAAACCAGAGAGAGAACACAGAGAGAGAGACCACAAAGAGAGAGACCATAAAGAGACCAGAGAGAGACAAGATAGAGACCAGAGAGAGAGACCAGAGAGAGAAAAGAGAACTGTAATAAAACATTTAGAAACTGTATTTATCTACCAGTCATTGCGTGTCTGCTGTCTCCTGGATCCTGTCTTCTGGTTTTTGGACTCCTGGTCTCTCCTGGTGTCTCTCTGGTGTCTCTCTGGTCTCTCTCTGGTCTCTCTCTGGTCTCTCTCTGGTCTGTCTCTGGTCTGTCTCTGGTCTGTCTCTGGTCTGTCTCTGGTCTGTCTCTGGTCTGTCTCTGGTCTGTCTCTGGTCTGTCTCTGGTCTATCTCTGGTCTGTCTCTGGTCTCCTGGTCTTTGTCGTCTCTCTCTGGTCTCTCTCTGGTCTCTCTCTGGTCTCTCTCTGGTCTCTCTCTGGTCTCTCTCTGGTCTCTCTCTCTGGTGTCTCCTGGTCTCTGGTATCTCCTGGTCTCTCCTGGTCTCTCCTGGTCTCTCCTGGTCTCTCCTGGTCTCTCTTGGTCTCTAGTCTCTCCTGGTTTCTGGTCTTTGGTCTCTCCTGGTCCTGACCTTCTGGGTGGGGGTCTTCTTGCCGTTGCTGCTGACCATGTGGCAGTTGGCCTTGAGCCAGGTGAGGTCCTGGAGCAGCCTGTGGGCAGAGGGGCCGTGCTCGTGGGGCAGATAGTGCAGACCCACCAGGAGGCGCACCTGGTCCTCTGTGAGAGCGCCCTTCCCCCCCGAGGAGGTGCCACTGTGGGAGAAAGACACAGGCTCTGACCCTATCCTTCTCCTGACTGGACGAAAGTATTGACTGTAAGAAAAATATACAATGTGGTTGCTAAGTCATACCAACACGTTTAGCTTCTCGCTGATTTTGACTTAGCTCTAATGGTCTCTCTTTGGTCCCCTCTAGTCTCTCTCTAGTCTTTCTCTGGTCTCGCGCTAGTCTCTCTCTCGTCTCTCTGGTCCCTCTCTGGTCTCTCTCTGGTCTCTCTCTGGTCTCTCTCTGGTCCCTCTCTCTGGTCTCGCTCCAGTCTCTCTCTGGTCCCTCTCTCTGGTCTCGCTCCAGTCCCTCTCTGGTCTCTCTAGTTCCACTCTGGTCTCTCTTTCTGGTCTCTCTCTGGTGTCTCTCTCTCTCTCTGGTCTCTCTCTGGTCCCTCTCTCTGGTCTCGCTCCAGTCTCTCTCTGGCCCCTCTCTGGTCTCTCTCTGGTCTTGCTCCAGTCCCTCTCTGGTCTCTCTCGTTCCTCTCTGGTCTCTCTCTGGTCTTTCTTTCTGGTCTCTCTCTCTCTGGTCTCGCTCTAGTCTCTCTCTGGTCCCTCTCTGGTCCCTCTCTGGTCCCTCTCTGGTCTCTCTCTGGTCTCTCTCTGGTCTCTCTCTGGTCTCTCTGGTCTCTCTTTCTGGTTTCTCTCTCTGGTCTCTCTCCAGTCTCTCCCTGGTCTTTCTCGGTGCAACACTGCCCTCTGGTGGTAGGAGTGGAACTGCAGTATTTAGAAGTGACATTAGCATGGATGGAGCTCAGAATAACTTGGAGTCAATAACAATGTGGACAGATTGGACCGATTCATCACAGAGCGTTCTGTGAGGGGGAGGGAATGGCTGCCTTTACCATGTAAATGCAATAACACACTTACCTACTGGTCTGGGTCTTTAGTGCCTCTCCGGCCTCAGACTTACACCCAGAGCTGCTCCTCTGCTGAGGGCCCCTGGGTTCTATGCGGGGGGATGAGGGGGGGGAGCAGGGGTGAGAGCCGGGGGGAGAGCTGGGGTCCAGGGGGAACACAGGCAGTGGGATGGTCCTTTCTGACCCAGAACCTGCCTTTCTGCTCTGGTGACCTGAGACAGAGGTATGTATAATGAGACAGAGTATGCATGTATACTGAGACAGAGTATGTATACTGAGACAGAGTATATATACTGAGACAGAGGTATGTATACTGAGACAGTATGTATGTATACTAAGAAAGAGGTATGTACACTGAGGCAGAGTATGTATACTGACACAGAACAGAGGAAGAGGTGTGTATACTGAGACAGAGGTGTGTATACTGAGACAGAGGTATGTATACTGAGACAGAGTATGTATACTGACACAGAGGTGTGTATACTGAGACAGAGGTATGTATACTGAGACAGAGGTGTGTATACTGAGACAGTATGTATGTATACTGAGATAGTCTTGGTAGATTTGCAGAGGTCTGATACTCCTTCCATTTCAATATAATTGCTTGCACAGTGCTCCTTGAGATGTTTAAAGCTTGGGAAAGCTTTTTGTATCCAAACCCGGCTTTAAACTTCTCCACAACAGTATCTCGGACCTGCCTGGTGTGTTCCTTTGTCTTCATGGTTCTCTCTGCGCTTTAAACAGAACCCTGAGACTATCAAAGAGCAGGTGCATTTATACGGAGACTTGATTACACACAGGTGCATTCTATTTATCATCATCAGTCATTTAGGACAACATTGGATCATTCAAAGATCCTCACTGAACTTCTGGAGTGAGTTTGCTGCACTGAAAGTAAAGGGGCCGAATAATATTGCACGCCCCACTTTTCAGTTTTTTATTTGTTAAAAAAGTTTAAATTATCTAATAAATTTTGTTCCACTTCACGATTGTGTCCCACTTGTTGTTGATTCATGACAAAAAAAAATAATTGTATATCTTTATGTTTGAAGCCTGAAATGTGGCGAAATGTTGAAAGGTTGTACTGAGACAGAGGTGTGTATACTGAGACAGATCTATGTATACTGAGACAGATGTATGTATACTGAGATAGAGGTATGTATGCTGAGACAGATGTATGTATACTGAGACAGATGTATGTATACTGAGACAGAGGTATGTATGCTGAGACAGATGTATGTATACTGAGACAGATGTATGTATACTGAGACAGAGGTATGTATGCTGAGACAGATGTATGTATACTGAGACAGAGGTATGTATACTGAGACAGAGGTATGTATGCTGAGACAGAGGTATGTATACTGAGACAGAGGTATGTATACTGAGACAGAGGTATGTATGCTGAGACAGATGTATGTATACTCAGACAGATGTATGTATACTGAGACAGAGGTATGTATGCTGAGACAGATGTATGTATACTGAGACAGATGTATGTATACTGAGACAGAGGTATGTATACTGAGACAGAGGTATGTATACTGAGACAGAGGTATGTATGCTGAGACAGATGTATGTATACTGAGACAGAGGTATGTATACTGAGACAGAGGTATGTATGCTGAGACAGAGGTATGTATACTGAGACAGAGGTGTGTATGCTGAGACAGATGTATGTATACTGAGACAGAGGTATGTATGCTGAGACAGAGGTATGTATGCTGAGACAGATGTATGTATACTGAGACAGATGTATGTATACTGAGACAGAGGTATGTATGCTGAGACAGATGTATGTATACTGAGACAGAGGTATGTATACTGAGACAGAGGTATGTATGCTGAGACAGATGTATGTATACTGAGACAGAGGTATGTATACTGAGACAGAGGTATGTATGCTGAGACAGAGGTATGTATGCTGAGACAGATGTATGTATACTGAGACAGAGGTATGTATACTGAGACAGAGGTATGTATGCTGAGACAGATGTATGTATACTCAGACAGATGTATGTATACTGAGACAGAGGTATGTATGCTGAGACAGATGTATGTATACTGAGACAGATGTATGTATACTGAGACAGAGGTATGTATACTGAGACAGAGGTATGTATACTGAGACAGAGGTATGTATGCTGAGACAGATGTATGTATACTGAGACAGAAGTATGTATACTGAGACAGAGGTATGTATGCTGAGACAGAGGTATGTATACTGAGACAGAGGTATGTATGCTGAGACAGAGGTGTGTATGCTGAGACAGATGTATGTATACTGAGACAGAGGTATGTATGCTGAGACAGAGGTATGTATGCTGAGACAGATGTATGTATACTGAGACAGAGGTACTGTATGTATGCTGAGATAGATGTATGTATACTGAGACAGATGTATGTATACTGAGACAGAGGTATGTATGCTGAGACAGATGTATGTATGCTGAGACAGATGTATGTATACTCAGACAGATGTATGTATACTGAGACAGAGGTATGTATGCTGAGACAGATGTATGTATACTGAGACAGATGTATGTATACTGAGACAGAGGTATGTATACTGAGACAGAGGTATGTATACTGAGACAGAGGTATGTATACTGAGACAGAGGTATGTATGCTGAGACAGATGTATGTATACTGAGACAGAGGTATGTATACTGAGACAGAGGTATGTATGCTGAGACAGAGGTATGTATGCTGAGACAGATGTATGTATACTGAGACAGAGGTATGTATACTGAGACAGAGGTATGTATGCTGAGACAGAGGTATGTATGCTGAGACAGATGTATGTATACTGAGACAGAGGTACTGTATGTATGCTGAGATAGATGTATGTATACTGAGACAGATGTATGTATACTGAGACAGAGGTATGTATGCTGAGACAGAGGTATGTATACTGAGACAGAGGTATGTATGCTGAGACAGAGGTATGTATGCTGAGACAGATGTATGTATACTGAGACAGAGGTATGTATGCTGAGACAGAGGTATGTATGCTGAGACAGAGGTATGTATGCTGAGACAGATGTATGTATACTGAGACAGATGTATGTATACTGAGACAGAGGTATGTATACTGAGACAGAGGTATGTATACTGAGACAGAGGTATGTATGCTGAGACAGATGTATGTATACTGAGACAGAGGTATGTATACTGAGACAGAGGTATGTATGCTGAGACAGAGGTATGTATACTGAGACAGAGGTATGTATGCTGAGACAGAGGTGTGTATGCTGAGACAGATGTATGTATACTGAGACAGAGGTATGTATGCTGAGACAGAGGTATGTATGCTGAGACAGATGTATGTATACTGAGACAGAGGTACTGTATGTATGCTGAGATAGATGTATGTATACTGAGACAGATGTATGTATACTGAGACAGAGGTATGTATGCTGAGACAGATGTATGTATGCTGAGACAGATGTATGTATACTCAGACAGATGTATGTATACTGAGACAGAGGTATGTATGCTGAGACAGATGTATGTATACTGAGACAGATGTATGTATACTGAGACAGAGGTATGTATACTGAGACAGAGGTATGTATACTGAGACAGAGGTATGTATACTGAGACAGAGGTATGTATGCTGAGACAGATGTATGTATACTGAGACAGAGGTATGTATACTGAGACAGAGGTATGTATGCTGAGACAGAGGTATGTATGCTGAGACAGATGTATGTATACTGAGACAGAGGTATGTATACTGAGACAGAGGTATGTATGCTGAGACAGAGGTATGTATGCTGAGACAGATGTATGTATACTGAGACAGAGGTACTGTATGTATGCTGAGATAGATGTATGTATACTGAGACAGATGTATGTATACTGAGACAGAGGTATGTATGCTGAGACAGAGGTATGTATACTGAGACAGAGGTATGTATGCTGAGACAGAGGTATGTATGCTGAGACAGAGGTATGTATACTGAGACAGAGGTATGTATGCTGAGACAGAGGTATGTATGCTGAGACAGATGTATGTATACTGAGACAGAGGTATGTATGCTGAGACACAGGTATGTATGCTGAGACAGATGTATGTATACTGAGACAGAGGTATGTATGCTGAGACAGAGGTATGTATGCTGAGACAGAGGTATGTATACTGAGACAGAGGTATGTATGCTGAGACAGAGGTATGTATACTGAGACACAGGTATGTATGCTGAGACAGATGTATGTATACTGAGACAGAGGTATGTATGCTGAGACAGAGGTATGTATGCTGAGACAGAGGTATGTATACTGAGACAGAGGTATGTATGCTGAGACAGAGGTATGTATACTGAGACACAGGTATGTATGCTGAGACAGATGTATGTATACTGAGACAGAGGTATGTATGCTGAGACAGACCTGCCTGTCGGGGGCGGTTGAGTTCGTCCATCCAGTCTCTCAGAGCTGAGGTCAGGGCGCGCTCTGGACAGTACTCGCAGTCTGCAACACACCAGCAACAAACACCATCAACACACACCAGCAACACACACCATCAACACACGCACCAGCAACACACACCATCAATACACACACGATAAAACACACACCAGCAACACACACCATAAAACACACACCATCAACACACACTGTTGTAGAGAGAGACCAGAGAGAGACCAGAGAGAGGGACCAGGGAGAGACCAGAGAGAGAGACCAGAGAGAGAGACCAGAGAGAGACCAGAGAGAGAGACCAGAGATAGACCAGAGATAGACCAGAGATAGACTAGAGATAGACTAGAGATAGACCAGAGAGAGACCAGAGAGAGAGACCAGAGAGAGACCAGAGAGAGACCAGAGAGAAACTAGAGAGAGACCAGAGAGAGACCAGAGAGAGACACATGTACCACTAGGAGTCAGCAGTAGATGTTGGGCCTCACCTTGGGTCTGGTGGCCCCTGAACCAGGAGCCCAGGGAGTGCAGGGGGATGTAGTTGGCCTCAAACTCACAGTTGGGGTTCAGCAGGAGGCCCCTGAGCTGAGTGCGGAGCTCAGGGGCCCGGCCTTTAAAGGGCCCCAGGAAGAGGCGGCGTGAGTCGTAGTCATTGGCGTGAAGGTTGTCCCAGACCAGAGGGGGGCGCTGTAGGACCCCCTCCACCTCCGACAGACTCTCCACCGTCAGGGTCCGAGAGATCACTCTGCTGCCTGCAACACAACATCTACTCAGTCCTGGATCTACAGTCTCGGCCCTGGATCTACAGTCTCAGTCCTGGGTCTAGAGCCGCAGTCCTGGGTCCACAGCCTCAGTCCTGGGTCTACAACCTCAGTCCTGGGTCTCAGACCTGTCCAGATCACAGAGATGCTTGGCAGCAGTTCTTCTCCCACCGTCTGCAGATACAGAGACTTGGAAACACTGGGAGAGCACAGGGACCCACAGTATTCTAGAGAGAGGACATTAGAGCTACATTAGAGCTACCCTGAGCAACTCAAATTCAAATAATAATTGTGCCATTACAGTGGGATACCTGAGTGCCTGTGTGTACCTATGTACCTGTGTGTACCTGTGTACCTGTGTACCTGTGGGGCAGAACAGGAAGACAGCAGGTTCTCCCAGACTCAGGTACATGTCGTTGGTCACAGAGACTTGAGCCTGAGCCAAAGACGAGAACAGCTCAGAGTCTGCCTGAGACAGGGACGGATCTATGTCATCGAAGAGGAGGGCGAAGGCCCCACAGCCCAGCTCACACACCTACACACACAGACACACACAGGGAGAGAGAGACACAACACACACACATATATCATATTTCCTGTTTGTGTCATTACAACAATAACACAACAATTTAATCAAGTGATGTTTGATGGTCAATGTGTGTATGTGTGAGTCTCACCTGTTGCAGTTTCCTCTTGAGCAGACTGAGGTCTGAGGACGAGGAGAAGACGATGTCTTGCCCCGGAGACAGAGCATAGACGAAGGTGAGGCCCCTGAGCTCAGCCTCCAGGATCAGGGCCCTCAACTGAGCTGAGGGACCAGAGGGAGACCACAGAGAGACCAGAGGGACCAGAGAGAGACCAATATTAACACATGTATTTATTTATTGTTTATTTGGTTGGGACAGTACATGTTCATGAACATATGACTCCAGATTGTCCCACAGTTGCACTCACAAACACACACTCATTCATGAACTATGGTACATGTTTTTAGGTGTAGGGGAAACCAGAGCACCCAGAGGAAATATATGCAGACACGGGGAGAACATGCAAAGGCCCTGCTCCGACCGGGATTTGAACCCAGAACCTTCTTGCTGATAGGTGAGAGTGCTAACCACTCAGCCACCGTCTGTTGTGGTCAGTACCTTCTTCGTCAGAGGAGTAAACTTCTCTCCATAACAGTCTGTGTTTCAGGTCGTCTTTAGGACCATAAAGGTACGTGTTCAGCCCCCACTGCTGCATCCTGCACACACACAGACACACACACACACACAGACAGAAACACAGACACACCCACACACAAACACAGACAGAAACACAGACACACCCACACACAAACACAGACAGAAACACAGACACACCCACACACAAACACAGACAGAAACACAGACACACCCACACACAAACACAGACACACACACACACACAGACAGAAACACAGACACACCCACACACAAACACAGACAAAAACACAGACACACACACACAGACACACACACACAGACACACGCACACACACACACTCACACAGTTAACTATTTCAGTATTTGTGTCTCACTCTAAACAACAACAGTTCAAACACAGGAAATGCAATAATAACAAACTCATATCAAGACCCAGGACTGAGGCTGTAGATACAGGACTGAGGCTGTAGACCCAGGACTGAGGCTGTAGACCCAGGACTGAGGCTGTAGATACAGGACTGAGGCTGTAGACCCAGGACTGAGGCTGTAGACCCAGGACTGAGGCTGTAGACCCAGGACTGAGACTGTAGACCCAGGACTGAGACTGTAGACCCAGGACTGAGACTTTACGGGGACATCATGAGTCTGTGGTAAACACAGTGGTCCTGGCTCTGAGTCTCAGTGTGGGCAGCATGAGTGCTCCTTCCTGGACAGATGGTGTGTACGTCACTCCCACAGACACACACACACAGACACACGCACACAGACACACGCACACTCACGCACACTGACGCACACACACACACACACAGACACACACACACAGACACACGCACACTCACGCACACTGACGCACACACACACACACACACACGTGTACATAACCACAAACATAGTTCAAATGGTTTCCAAGACTTTTGTCCACGTTTCTGTCCCTGGTGTTTGGGACAGGACTTAAATGGTTCTCTGTGTGCGTCTAGTAAGTAAGTAGTAAGTAAGTAATCTTTATTTAAATACCGCCTTTCACAGACAAGAGTCACAAAGCGGTTTACAATTGTTATTTTTTGGGGACTTGTCCTCTCACTCCACACAGAGATGGGAGCGGGGTCGCAGAACAGGAGGCGCATCCAGAACTATTGTCTGGCATGCGTCTGTGTGTGTGTGTGTCTGTGTGTGTAGACAAAAGAAAGAACCATAAGTGGCAGACACTGTGTGTAGTGAAAGCTCGTCCTGGTCCAGAGACCAGCAGAGCCCTGAGGTCAGACTCACCAGTGGAAGAGCGCCCTCCTCTGGTCCATGGACCAGGGCCGACCGTAGAAACCTGCACAGAACAGTCATGGTTTTAGTGATTCATTATTTATATAAAAACACTTTAAATCTGTCTCCAACTCCAGAGTCAAAGGGACGCAGGTCTTCACTTCAACATCATTCGGACACCTACAGAGAGCTGGACCATCTCCAGTTTCACACTGTACCAACTGCTCTCTCTGCTGTACCAGAACCAGGAAGTACCAGCACATTTGTTCTGACCAGAACCAGAAAGTACCATCACATTAGTCCTGACTAGAACCAGGAAGTACCATCACATTAGTCCTGACTAGAACCAGGAAGTACCATCACATTAGTCCTGACCAGAACCAGGAAGTACAATCACATTAGTCCTGACTAGAACCAGGAAGTACCATCACATTAGTCCTGACTAGAACCAGGAAGTACCATCATATTAGTCCTGACTAGAACCAGGAAGTACCATCACATTAGTCCTGACCAGAACCAAGAAGTACCATCATATTAGTCCTGACTAGAACCAGGAAGTACAATCACATTAGTCCTGACTAGAACCAGGAAGTACCATCACATTAGTCCTGACTAGAACCAGGAAGTACCATCATATTAGTCCTGACTAGAACCAGGAAGTATCATCACATTAGTCCTGTCACTCCCGGATTCGTCCCGGAAGTTCAGTTTGATCCATTGATCATACGCAGCAGTAGATTACGTCACGGAATCTGGACGGAAGCGGAAGTAAATATAACAAACTACCTATTCATGTCTAAACTTAACCAGCTATTCCCATAAAATAACCCCAACCCAGCCTTAACCCTAAACTTAACCACTTAAGGACTTATTAACTGAACTTCCGGACGAATCCAGTTTTCGGGACGAATCCGGGAGTGACAGTCCTGACAAAAACCAGGAGGTACCATCACAGTAGTCCTGACTAGAACCAGGAAGTACCATCACAGTGGTCCTGGCCTCCGGTCACATGATGTCCTCACGTCAAAGTACATGTTACTGCCAACCAACTCTCAGGAGTACAGGGACTGGCCTCCTGCTGACACTCTGAGGAGCACAGGGACAGGCCTCAGCCGTGGGTACAGTTTGCTACTGCATACTCTTCATCAGCTATTTTTAGCTTGGACCATCTCAGTCTTCGTCCTCTTTGTGGCTGCAGCAGAAGTAGGTCAGAGCTCTGTGGATAAAGGGACGTGTGTAAACTGTTAACCACTTTGCCGCTGGAAACACACACTCTGAGGCCAGTCCCTGTGCTCCTCAGAGTCCCAGCAGGGGGCCAGTCCCTGTGCTCCTCAGAGTCAGAGTTGCAACCAATGTGTGAGTTTGTAAATACAGATGGATGATTATAATTATTATTATTATATTAGCATTATTAGTATTATTATCATTAGTATTTTCATTTTTATATTATTACAATGTTATGTTATGGCCACATTAAACCATAGACTAAGGACCAGGACCAAGACCAGCACCAGGACAAATCACTAAATCATTCACATTTAGGTAAGTATCATTTCTATCCTCTCAGCTCCAGAGGTAGCTTCCTCCTCCTCACTCCTCTCAGTCCTCATCACTCCTCCTCACTCCTCTCAGTCCTCATCACTCCTCCTCACTCCTCTCAGTCCTCATCACTCCTCCTCAGTCCTCTTCAATCCTCTCAGTCCTCCTCACTCCTCTCAGTCCTCATCACTCCTCCTCACTCCTCTCAGTCCTCATCACTCCTCCTCACTCCTCTCAGTCCTCATCACTCCTCCTCAGTCCTCTTCAATCCTCTCAGTCCTCCTCACTCCTCCCGGTCCTCTCACTCCTCCTCAGTCCTCCCGCTCCTCCTGTCCTCTCTATGTCATCCTTCTCCTCCTCACTCCTCCTCACTCCTCTTGCTCCTCCAAGTTGCATAAACACGAGTCTCCGTTACCTTCCACCACGCCGCACAGAAATCCCGTGTGCGCGTCCATGTCGGGCCGTGTGCACGCCTCGGTCCTCTCCTCGGTCCTCTCCTCGATCCGCTCCTCTGTCTTCTCCTCGGTCCGCTCCTCTGTCTTCTCCTCGGTCCGCCCCTCTGTCTTCTCCTCGGTCCGCTCCTCTGTCTGCCGTGGAGGCTGTCAGTGGAGGCTGTGGTCGGGCATGTTGTGGTGGATGCTCGGGTGTCTCTCTCTGGCTCTGGCTCCGGCGCACAGCCCGCACCTTTCTTGTGCAGGAGCGGAGGCACGAAGAGGAGGTCCGGGGCACGTGCGAGGGGGAGGGGGAGGGGGGGGGGAGGGGGAGGGGGGGCACATCTTTGAAAAACAATGCTACAATATATGTGTTCATTTTGACCCTGTGTCATTATTTTGGGTCCGTAGACTTTGCAGCAGGATGTGTTTTAATGATAATTTTATCAATTCTAAATAAAAAACACAAAGTTCGAAGTAAACTCACTGTGGTTTATGTTTATGATGTTTTTGATCCTGCAGTTTGTATGTGTCCTTTACCCTAACGGGACTGACCAATCAGAGGCTTTCATTCAGGGGAAACTCCAGCTTTCCTTAGCAACCGCCTTGGCAACACATCTGCTCCTGTTCAAGTCTACCTCTTCCACATCAAGACAAACACTGTGATGTCACATTGTGGAGATGTCACACGTCACTTCTGGTGTTGCTCTTGCTGGTGTGATGTCACACTGAGACCAGCTATTTACAGTCTATGGTTCAAACATTGACAGTAGTTTTATGATCTGTGTGGACTCTGGACTCTCTCTGGTCTCTGTCTCTCTGGACTGAGAACAGAGTGAGACCTTTGCTGTTGAGGGACCAGGTGGAGGGACCAGGTGGGTTCTACATTTATCTTCAGACTAAGAAGAAAATATGTTTACAAAAGTAGCATTTAGCAAATAGCAAAGTAGCATCAGAACTTTTACTTAGGTTGTGTTGGGAAAAACAATTTGGCCTCCCTCTGGTCTCTCTCTGGTCTCTCTCTGGTCTTTCTCTGGTCTCTCTCTCTCTCTCTGGTCTCTCTTTGGTCTCTCTCTGGTCTCTATCTAGTCTTTCTCTGGTCTCTCTCTCTCTCTCTGGTCTCTCTTTGGTCTCTCTCTGGTCTCTGTCTAGTCTTTCTCTGGTCTCTGTCTCTCTGGACTGAGAACAGAGTGAGACCTTTGCTGTTGAGGGACCAGGTGGAGGGACCAGGTGGGTTCTACATTTATTTTCAGACTAAGAAAAAAATATATTTACAAAAGTAGCATTTAGCAAATAGCAAAGTAGCATCAGAACTTTTACTTAGGTTGTGTTGGGAAAAACAATTTGGCCTCCCTCTGGTCTCTCTCTCTCTGGTCTCTCTTTGGTCTCTCTCTGGTCTCTGTCTGGTCTTTCTCTGGTCTCTCTCTCTGGTCTCTCTCTCTGGTGTCCCTCTGGTCTTTCTCCGGTCTCTCTCTCTCTGGTCCCTCTCTGGTCTCTCTGGTCCCTCTCTGGTCTCTCTGGTCTCTCTCTGGTCTCTCTTTCTGGTCTCTCCCTCTGGTCTCTCTCTGGTCTCTTTCTGGTCTCTCTCTGGTCTCCCTCTGGTCTCTGGTTATTTCCTGTGTTTACAGTGATGTCGTCCCGTGTGCTGATGTCCCATGTCCAGTTCCAGTGTCCTCTCTGTCGGGACGTCCTCTCAGAGCCTGTGTCTATACCATGTGGACACAGCTTCTGCTTTCGCTGCATCACGTCTCACTGGGACCAGGCCCAGTATGTCTCCCGTCCCAGAGGACAAGCCCAGGGCGTCTCCTGTCCCAGGTGCCACTCCCAGTTCTCTCAGCGTCCTCAGCTCTGTGAGAACAACTTCCTCAGAGACATGTCCAACAAGATCAAAGCCTCCAGCAGTAGCCTCCTGCAGGAGGAGCAGAAGGAGCAGGAGATCAGCTGTGACGTGTGCATAGAGGGACACACACAGGTGAGGAGCACAGGGTCTCTCTCTGGTCTCTCTCTAGTCTCTCTCTGATCCCGCTGGTCTCTCGGATCCCTAATGGTCCCTCTGATCCCTCTGGTCTCCCTCTGGTGTCTCTGGCCCCTTCGGTCTCTCTCTGGTCTCTCTGGTCCCTCCAGTCTCTCTCTGGTCTCTCTGGTCCCTAGGTGTCTCTCTGATCCCTCTGGTCTCCCTCTGGTCTCCCTCTGGTCCCTCTGATCCCTCTGGTGTCCCTCTGGTCTCTCCAGGCGGTGAGGTCCTGCCTGGTGTGCCTGGCCTCCTTCTGCGGGCCTCACCTGGAGCCTCACTGTCGGGTCCCCACTCTCAGGGCGCACTCCCTGGTGCCTCCTGTGGGGGCGCTAGAGAGCCGTCTGTGCAAACGCCACCAGCGCCTCCTGGAGCTGTTCTGCCGGAGGGAGGAGGAGTGTGTGTGTGTGCTCTGTGCTGAGGCAGGCCATCAGGGGCACCTCCTGGTACCTGTGGAGAGGAGAGCGGAAGAGGTGAAGGTGAGGAGGGGAGGAGGAGGAGGAGGAGGAGGGGAGGATGAGGAGGGGAGGAGGAGGTGAGGAGGAGGTTGCGGCTGTAGAAAGCTGTGCTGCTGCGTTTCCAAAGTTAAAATTTTACTGTTTTGTCTGTTTTTATTGTGCTGTGAGAAGCACAGCTGCTGATACAGGTGTTATATGATACAGGTGTTATATGATACAGGTGTTACACGATACAGGTGTTTCACGATACAGGTGTTATAGGATACAGGTGTTACATGATACAGGTGTTACGCGATACAGGTGTTACATGATACAGGTGTTACACGATACAGGTGTTATATGATACAGGTGTTACATGATACAGGTGTTACATGATACAGGTGTTATATGATACAGGTGTTACATGATACAGGTGCAGCATCTTTTAATGTAAACTCTAAACAGGAGCAGGTGGAGCTCAGAGAGGAGGAGGTGCAGCTGAGGATCCAGGAGAAACTGAGGAGAAAGGAGGAGGTGTCATACAACATCATACAGAGCAGAGTCAGTCCTACACACACATACAAACACAAACACACGCACACACACACACACAAAGAGACACACACAGAGAGACACACACAAACACACAGACACACACACAAACAGATACAGACACACACACACAAACACACACAGACAGACACAGACAGGGCTGGACTGGCCATCGGGCGTACCGGGCAATGCCCCAAGGGCCGATGCCCATATTTGGGCCGGTCTGTCTGCCTCTTACAAAACACATGTTTGTGAAAAGTGTAAATCCGTTGAGAAATGTTTGAGGGGAGCGCGCGTGTCCGCGGGGCACCTGCTGTATGTACTGGAACGGGATTCCGCCACCTCAGCGGCCGCAGTGTTCCCGCATCCAGCGGCTCTGAGCTGGACGCAGAAACTGCTCACCGGGAACCGCTCACAACACAACACGGCGAGCGCGTAGCCGCAACGTGACCATGTACCCAAGACCATAAACGCGCACAGGACCATACATGTCTTTGCGTAATTTGTGCACCCAATAAATACACCGCTGCAGAAAACAGTCCGCGTCTCCCCTCTCCTCTAAATTAAAGCTCGGGTACCTACATTTTTCATTGCATTAAAAGTTCATGTTTGAGCCCAAAAGTAAAATGTTGTGAACAGATTAAACAGATTTAGAGCCAGCTAATGGCTGACAATATGCATTTCAGAATTTTTTTACCAATTCTCATCCCTGTAACAAACAATATTGTCTGTGCCCACCTCCCTCACTCTGAGACATGTTTATTACTCTGTTTAATGTAGACTATTGTACTGTATTTTATTGTTGAAACTGGAGAGATCCTGATCCTCTACAGTATTTGCTTCCACATACTGTATAAACCAGGGGTCGGCAACCTTTAGTGCCCCTAAAGTGCCAGGCGGCGTGTGCATTATAATGACTGTGTGTGATCCCAAAGATAAAGAGAGACAGTCGCTAAGACTGGACTAAGAATGAGAATGAACATTTGCTTTCAGTCAATGAGGAAGGACTGCTTCATGTTTGCGATGTAATGAAAAGTTTTGTTGCAACAGGAGGAACAATGAAGCTTTAAACACGTTCACTGAAAGATTCATTCATCATAAAGTCAGAGCACCTATTTTCAGACTTCAAATACCTTCGCAAAGACGGTGAAAAAAAAGGCCATTAAGGACATTCAGCTCCAGCAAACTTCAGCCTGTGATTGACATGAACAGACAGTGATGCAGGTGAACTCGGAGCCAAAAAGCAGATTTATTTACTGTATTTGTACAATTGCATGAAGGCAAAAAAATGGAAGTTAAACTCAAAGCAGAGTTGTCACGTGGTGCGTCATTCTCTCCAGGACACGCTGAAATGAAAATACACATTTGATAATCATGAATGGTTTTTATGTGTTAAGCCTTTACTTTGTCATTTAGATATTAGTCTAATATAGCTAATGTAGCTAATGTAGCTAATACAGCTTCAGCCCCTGTTACCTTCATATAAGCCTTATACAACGCTGTTATTTTTTTTTTTTTGTCAATTAGGGCTCCTTGAACCTTTTGAGTTGCCTGGGCCGCTAAAAAGGAAAAAATGCCCGGGCCGTTTTTTTGTCCCAGTCCAGCCCTGGACACAGACACACACAAACACACATACACAAACACACACAGACACACACACACACAGAGACACACACACACACACACACAAACACATAGAGACACACACAGACACAGACACACACAAACACATACAGACACACACAGACACACACAGACACACACACACTCCCTCTCTTGTCCTTCTCCTCCTCACTCCTTGTTCCTGCTGCAGGAGCAGAGCAGGCAGGACTTGCAGGAGGCGCGGCAGGTGTTCTCCTCTCTTGTGGCTCAGGTGAAGGAGGTGGGGCAGGAGGTGGAGGAGGAGATCCAGAGAGCTCAGGAGGAGGCGGAGCTCAGGGCTCAGAAACAGATCTCTGAGCTCCAGCAGGAGGTCAGGGAGCTACGGAGGAGGAGGCAGGAGCTGGAGCTGCTGCGACAGTCACAGGACCATCTGCAGCTGGTGCAGGTGAGAAGGCGGAGAGGAGGATCAGAGGAGAGGAGGACCAGAGGAAGATCAGAGGAGGCTCAGAGGAGGAACAGAGGAGAGGAGGACTAGGGGAAGATCAGAGGGGGCTCAGAGGAGGCTCCTCTTTCCTCTCTCTCTGTCCTCACTCCTCTCTGTCCTTTCTCCTCTCCTCTCCTCTCTCCTCCTTCTCCTCTCTCTGCTCTCTCGTCTCCTCTCCTCTCCTCTCTCCTCTCTGATGCTGTGTTCTCCCAGGCCTTCTCCAGCCTCAGCCCTCTGGCGCCCCCTCTTGGTCGGTCTGTGCCAGTTCATGCTGACCCCTCCCTGGGCGCCGTGCGGAGCGCAGTGGAGCGAGTAGAGGAGGAGCTGCAGGAGATCCTCCAGGTGCTGTGTGCGCGGGGTGAGACTGAACACACCCACACTCTACTCTACCCTACCCTACTCTACTCTACTCTACCCTACCCTACCCTACCCTACCCTACCCTACTCTACTCTACTCTACCCTACCCTACCCTACCCTACGCTACTCTACTCTACTCTACCCGACTCTACTCTACTCTACTCTAACCTACTCTACTCTACTCTACCCTACCCTACCCTACCCTACTCTACTCTACTCTACCCGACTCTACTCTACTCTACCGTACCCTACTCTACTCTACTCTAATGTGTCTTGTGTTTCACAGAGATCCAAAGGATGCAGAAGTTTTCAGGTAAACGTCTTTAAATCAGTATCTGTAAGTTAGAAGTTTGCATGTTCTCCCTGTGTCTCTGGGCAAATGTTCAGTGACATCAATATCAGAGCACCATCACAGACCTCTAGGACCATCAGATACCTCTAGGACTAGCGATAAACAGATGTGATAACAGAGGTCCAGGGACCATTTTAAGGGCTTGTTGTTTCTGTCTTGTGTATGAACTGTCCAAATAAACTTGTTTCTTCTGAGGATGTCATAATCGTATCTAATAAAGAGATGCTTCTGATGTGAGAGCTGGATGTAGTTCCCTGAGTGACCCACAGGGGGGCGGCTGTGTTGCAGTGGACGTGAGGCTGGACCCCCGCACAGCGAACCCGTGGCTGCGTCTGTCTGAGGACCGCAGAGCTGTGTGGGACGGGGACCAGGAGCAGTACCAGGAGCAGGACCAGGACCAGGAGGAGACCCCTGAGCGCTTCGACACGGCCCCATGTGTCCTGGGAGACAAGGTCAGGGCTCCAGCTGCAGCTCGGACCTCTCATCTCTCCTCTCTCTCTCTTCTCTCTCTTTTCTCTCGCCTCTCTCTCTCTCTCTCTCCTCCACTCTCTCACCTTCCTCCTTTCTCCTCCCTCTCTCTCCTCTCTCTCCTCTCCTCCTCTCTCCTCTCCTCCCTCTCTCTCCCCTCTCTCCTCCTCTCTCCTCTCCTCCTCTCTCCTCCCTCTCTCTCCCCTCTGTGTTACCAGTCTGTGTGCACTTGCAGGCCTTCTCCAGCGGGAGGCAGTACTGGGAGGTGGAGGTTGGTGGTAAGACCGCGTGGGACGTAGGCGTGGCTTGTGCCTCCGTGGTCAGAAAGGGCGTGGTCACTCTGAGTCCCGCTGACGGCTTCTGGACGCTGTGTCTGCGAGAGGGAGGGCAGTACAGAGCGTGTGCGGGAGAGGCCCAGCTCCTCCCCCTTCTTCCCCCCTTCCCCCGTGTGGTGGCCGTGTTCCTAGACCACGAGGGGGGGCGAGTCTCCTTCTACGACCCTGAGGTCAGAGGTCACCTGTACTCCTACACAGGGTTCAGCTTCACCCAGGACCTGCTGCCCTTCTTCAACCCAGAGACCAGCACCAGCGGGGGCCACAACACTGCTCCTCTGGTCCTACGGGGGGAGGACCAGTTGGACTTGGACAACGTCCTCATATGACAAGGAATCTCTCTGGTCTCTCCCTGGACTCTCTCTGGTCTCTCTTTGTTCTCTCTCTGGTGTCTCTCTGGTCTCTCTCTGGTTTCTCTCTGGTCTTCATGTATGACCTGTGCTGTTTAAATAAACTTGTCTTGTGTAAACTTGTTCTTTAATAAATTAAGTCAAACTTTACAGTTTCAGTGTTTAAAAATGTTTCACATCAATCACAGACGGCCTCAGGCCTGGTCTAAAGCCTCAGTCCTGGTCTACAGCCTCAGTCCTGGGTCTTCAGCCTCAGTCCTGGGTCTTCAGCCTCAGTCCTGGGTCTACAGCCTCAGCCCTGGATCTATAGCCTCAGTCCTCGGTCTACAGTCTCAGTCTCAGCCCTGGGTCTACAGCCTCAGTCTCGTTCCCTATGGATCAGTGGCTCTAAGTGTTTAAGTCCTCAGAGACAACCAATGTTGTGATTATTGACAATGATTTCATCTTGGTCCCCCCCCCCCATCCCCCATCCCCCCTCTCAGCCTCCCCCTCTCCCCCTCAGACCCAGGAGGAGGTGCACTGATGACCCAGCTCCTGCTAATCTCAATAATCCACTTAGTGCTGAGGAGCATCTACTACAGACATGTGTCACAGAGACATACTGAGACTGAGGAGACCGGCTGGACAGGTCAGTCTGTAGACCAAGACCGAGGCTGTAGACCAGGACCGAGGCTGTAGACCCAGGACTGCAGGACTGATGCTGTAGACCAGGACTGAGGCTGTAGACAAGGACTGAGGCTGTAGACCAGGACCGAGTCTGTAGACCAGGACCGAGGCTGTAGACCAGGACCGAGGCTGTAGACCCAGGACTGAGGACCAGTTCCTGGTTCTAACAGATGCTTCTATAGTTAAACTTTTCACATATAATGATTATAAACAAAGACCGAGTCCTGCAGCAGACTTTATTCTATTATTATTGTGTAGTTGTGTTGTTGTGATTTTGTGGTGTTGTGTTATTGTTGTGTTGTTTTAAACTTACCTTTTGATGTTTGAGCAACTATGACGTTGAAATAAAATGTTCATAATATTTAAACATGTTAAATGATGTTAGGGATCACCCTCCCTGTACAGGGAGGATTCAGTTATTTTTCATTTAACAGCATCAGTATTAGAATTCACTTGTGTCAATATAGTCAAGCTATATCGCTTTTGAAAGCTTATTCCCACCTCTAAACGCATGAAATTATGTTCAAATAAACATTAAATATAACCAAAAGTAAGATTAAGTAGTCAAACTGTATATATATATATATATATATATAAAATATATATTGTCCTTTCTTACCTTTTCATGCTAATATTCTGGGGCAAATCACGTCTAATCCACACATGTGTGCATTCTTTTTGTTCGTTAGGGTCCATAGTATAATTATATCCAGTTGTTTTTTCTTCAAAGTCATCCGTATAGTAGATATCCACTTGTAACAACATATTTGAGTATTGAAAGTTGCACAAACAAAAAGAAAACCTGTTCTTTGCACACTGTATGAAGAGGACATTTTACTATTTACCTAGCCTCACTGGGTATGTTCGTCTTCCCCTAGGCCTTCCCTTCAAAACAAGACAATTGGCAGATTTTTCAGTGCTAGGGTTCGGAAGGTAGAGTAAGTTGAGTAAAACAAGCGCACCTAGCTTTAGCGCTCCAGTCATATAGATATCTGTGCGTCACGACAGCATTGTCTTGACTATCATTGGCCGATTTGGATGTCAATCAAATCATCTTGTAGCCAATAATCTCAGGCACAATCTTTGGCACAGTTGGCACAAAAATGGACCACTTGTGCCGAATGTGCCTATTAGTTACAAAAAAGCCCACAGCATCAAAATGGAAAATCAGACACAAGATGTCCACACAACAAGCATTTCCATTTGGGTATCATAATTCGAAAAGGAACAGGCGAAATTAGGTGATCCTTAAAGGGTTAAACATTATCTGTTAGAATCACTTCACTCATCTCTTCTGTGATCCTCAGTCGCTGCCTGTGATTGGCTGAGATCCTCAGTCACTGCCTGTGATTGGCGGAGATCCTCAGTCACTGCCTGAGGGACACAGCATGTCTCCAGTGGTGGATGAGACGGCGGGGGACATCCCAGTGAGAGACGTGGGACTGAAGGAAGGACTGAGACCATCTGTCCCAGGTCAGACGCTGTAGACCCAGGACTGAGACCAGGACTGAGGCTGTAGACCCATGGGACTGAGACCAGGACTCAGGCTGTAGACACAGGACTGAGGCTGTGAAGATGATGTTTGTGTTTGTGCTTTGACAGACTCTGTCCGGGACCCGAGAGCCGCAAGGAGGAGCCCCCATAGCAGGAAACTGAGTAAGACCAGAGAGAGACCAGAGAGAGAGACCATCTAGAGACCATAGAGAGACCAGAGAGAGACCAGAGAGAGACCAGAGAGAGAGACCAGAGAGAGAGAACAGAGAGAGACCAGAAAGAGAGACCAGAGAGAGAGAACAGAGAGAGAGAACAGAGAGAGACCAGAGAGAGAGAGACCATCTAGAGACCATAGAGAGACCAGAGAGAGACCAGAGAGAGAGACCAGAGAGAGACTTGTCTATAATCCTCTTCCTGGAACAAACAACAGTATTATTTCTGAAACACAAAGTCAGGGACCTGAAATTTAGTGTTGTGTGCAGTGGACCCTCAGCGTGTGTTCCGAGCCCCCAGGGACCAGCTGGAGGAGCTGTGTCTGCGGCTGCAGGAGGAGAACAACGTCCTCAAACAGCACTCTCGATCTCAGGAGCAGAGGATTCGCCGGTAACTGTTTCAGTAAATGGTAGGACTGAGGCTGTAGACCCAGGACTGAGGCTCGAGATCCAGGACTGAGGCTGTAGACCCAGGACTGAGGCTCGAGATCCAGGACTGAGGCTGTAGATCCAGGACTGAGGCTGTAGACCCAGGACTGAGGCTGTAGACCCAGGACTGAGGCTGAGGACTGAGGCTGTAGACCCAGGACTGAGGCTGTAGACCAGGACTGAGGCTGTAGACCAGGACTGAGGCTCCAGACCCAGGACTGAGGTTGTAGACCCAGGACTGAGGCTGGACTGAGGCTGTAGACCCAGGCTGAGACTGTAGGGTCCTTTCATCACGCTATAAAACAGACAGTGGGATAGTGAGTGAATAGCAATGAACAGACTACAGCTGAAGTCATAATAAGGACAGATAAAGTAGAAGAGGGCAGAGCTGTAATCAGCCTTCTCCAGCAGGGGGCTCGACATGTGTTTTTATTTCATCCTTGAGCAGGGCTGGACTGGGACAAAAAAACGGCCCGGGCATTTTTGCCTTCTTGGCGGCCCAGGCATGTTTTTTCACGTTTTATACAAGTTTGTTTATACCAGGGGTTGGCAACTCAAAAGGTTCAAAGAGCCATATTTGTGTCTGGAGCCTTGTAAAAGGCTTTTATGAAGGTAACACAGGCTGCAGCTGTATTAGCTATATTAGCTACAAATACACAATATAAGCATTCATGATTATCAAATGTGTATTTTCACTGCAGTGTGTCCTAGAGAGAATGACGCACCATGTGACAACTCTGGTTTAACTTTAACATTTTGACTCCGAGTTCACCTGCATCACTGTCTGTTCATATCGATCACATCACAGGCTGAAGTTTGCTGGAGGTGAATGTGCTTAATGGCCTTTTCTTTCACCGTCTTTGCGAAGGTTTTTGAAGTCTGAAAATAGGTGCTTTGAATTTGCGATGAATGAATCCTTCAGTGAACACTGTTTAAAGCTTCATTGTTCCTCGTGTTGCAACAAAACTTCTCGTTACAAACATGAGGCAGTCTTTCCTTACTGACTGAAAGCAAAAGTTCATTCTGATTCTTAGTCCAGTCTTATCGACTCTTTCTCTCTTTATCTTTGGGATCCGTGCGCACACACAGTCTATAATGCACACACGCCGGTTTGTTTACCACAGCCGCCGCACGGGGCCGTGTCACCGGATATGACGCACTTCGTAGACAGAAATTTTGAAATTGAATAATACTTATGCACAGCATTTAAAAACATCAAGAATGTTTTTCCTCCTACAGAAACCACATTCAAACTAGAAATAAAATATAGCCCTCCCACTCCATTTTCAGACATTTTTTAAAAGGCTCCAGGAGCCACAGGAGGAGCTACAAAGAGCCGACCCCTGGTTTATACAGTATGTGGAAGCAAATACTGTAGAGGATCAGGATGTCTGCAGTTTCAACAATAAAATAAAACGCAATAGTCTACATTAAAGAGAGTAATAAACATGTCTCAGAGTGAGGGAGGTGGACACAGACAACACTGTTGTTTGTTACAGGGATGAGAATTGGTCAAAAAAAGTCTGAAATGCATAATGTCAGCCATTGGCAACTTTTGATGCAATGGAAAATTTAGGTACCCAAGCTTTAATTTAGTCGCGCTTCGAGAGGAGAGGGGAGACGCGGAGTGTTTACTGCAGCGGTGTTTTTATTGGGTCCACAGACTACGCTAAGACACGCATGGTCCTGTGCGCGTTTATGGTCTTCGGTATATGGTCACGTTGCGGCTACGCGCTCACCGTGTTGTGTTGTGAGCGGTTCCCGCGTCCAGCTCAGAGCCGCTGGATGCGGGAACCGCTCATTACAAAGCGTCCGCAGCAGCCCGGGAACACTGCGGCCGCTCAGGTGGCGGAATCCCGTTCAAGTACATACAGCAGGAGCCCGCGGACACGCGCGCCCCCCTCGAACAATTCTCAACGGATTTACACTTTTCACAAACATGTTTTTGGATGAGGCAGACAGACCGGCCCAAATGTGGGCATCGGCCCTTCGGGCATTGCCCGGTACGCCCGATGGCCAGTCCAGCCCTGTCCTTGAGTCTTATCATAGGCTGAATGAAAGAAGACTGTTTTAAGTCTAGCCTCTCCCACTGGTCCCAGGATGTCCACCCGTCTGTCCCGTGCCCGGCTGGCCCGGGACGTTGGGGGCCCCCCTGACCCCAGCGGGGTGCGGGACCGGGACCTAGAGGACCTGGTGCAGGCCCTGGAGGCTCGTGTGTCTCTGCTGCAGGGACAGAAGCAGCTGCTGCAGGACAGACTCAGGCTGAGCAAGACACAACTGCAGCAGCTGGGAGCATCAACACACCGCTACAGGACAGGTAACACACATACAGAGACATACAGAGACATACACAGACACACACACTCATACAGAGAGACACACATGCAGAGAGACACACATACACACACACTAGACACACAGAGACACACACACACACAGAGACACACACGTACACACATACACACACACACAGACACACACAGATGCCCACACACATGCACACACACAGACACACACACACACACACACACACACACACAGAGAGAGACACACACATACACACACACTTAGGAACTCTTGAATCCAGATCTTACAGTAATCACTGGAATCTTCTGGAAAAGCCATGTTCCAGCTTCTTCCCTCCTATCATTGGCTGCAGGACATCTGGATATGCAAACATGCTAACATGCTAACAGCTTCCTTCAGCTGTTTTCAGTCTGTTGTTGTTGAGGATCTGAATCTGACCTTTGTTGCAGTGAAGTGTGTGGACACAGACCCAGGGCCCCGCAGAGCCCCCCACACGGCCCCCCCTCGATACGGCCCTGCACTGGACTCAGAACTGTGAGTCTGTCCTCCACAACCATCAGGGGTCACTGCCTCTGCTCATGACCTCTCCCTGTCTCCCCCTGTCCCCCCCTCTTTCCCCTCTCTCCACCCTCACTCCCCCCCTCTCTCCCCCCCTCTCTCCCCTTCTCTCCCCTCTGTCCCCCTCACTCCCCCCTCTCTCTTCTTCTCTCCTCTCTTCCCCTCTCTCCCCCTCACTCCCCTCACTCCTCCCTCTCTCCCCCCTGTCCCAGGGGCAGCAGTGGAGCAGACCAGCTCCGGATGGTCCAACTGGAGCTCACAGCACAGATGCTCAGGGATAGTCTGAGGGACCGAGACCGAGACCGGGACCGAGACCAGGACCAGGAGCTGAAGGACTTGAGGCGAGCCCAGGCTGAGACGCACAGGTGCAGTAAAGGACACAAAATTAGATTGTGTGTGTGTGAGTGTGTGTGTGTGTTTGTGTTACTGAGTTGTGGGGACCTTCAGGATGAGCATCAGGGAGAACGTGGAGGTGCTGCGAGTGCAGAGGCAGCTGTCAGAGAAGACCATTGCTCTGAGGCTCACAGAGGAAAAACTCCTCCATCTACAGGAGGTACAGGTCCTGCTTTAGACCTGCTTTAGACCTGCTTTAGACCTGCTTTAGACCTGCTTTAGTCCTGCTTTAGACCTGCTTTAGTCCTGGCTTAGTCCTGCTTTAGACCTGCTTCTTTCTGCTTTAGTCCTGCTTTAGACCTGTTAAGACCTGTTAAGACCTGTGTAGACCTGTTTAGAACTGTTTGGACTGATTCCGATTTAAACCCCAGACTCTCAGACTGACCCTGTTCCTGTTGTGTCCAGGCCTTTGAGCAGCAGCTGGAGGAGGTAAGGCCTCTCTCTGGTCTCTCTCTCTGGTCTCTCTCTCTGGTCTCTCTCTCTGGTCTCTGCTCTCTCTGGTCTCTCTGGTCTCTGGTCTCTGGTCTGGTGTGACCTCTGGTGTTTCCAGAACCAGCGGTCCCTGCAGAGTGGCCAGGGGCCTCTGCTGCTGAGGCTTGAGGAGCTGAGGACAGAGCTGAAGGACGAGAGACAGAGGAGTCTGGAGCTAGAGGGACAGCTATCCACATCCTCTGTGTCCCAGGAGACCACCACCAAGGTGAGCTACGACCGCCATGGCAACAGTCACAAGGTGAGCTACAACGGCCATGGCAACAGCCACAAGGTGAGCTACGACGGCCATGGCAACAGTCACAAGGTGAGCTACGACGGCCATGGCAACAGTCACAAGGTGAACTACGACCGCCATGGCAACAGTCACAAGGTGAGCTACGACCGCCATGGCAACAGTCACAAGGTGAGCCACGACCGCCATGGCAACAGTCACAAGGTGAGCTACGACCGCCATGGCAACAGTCACAAGGTGAGCTACGACCGGCATGGCAACAGTCACAAGGTGAACTACGACCGCCACTGCAACAGTCACAAGGTGAGCTACGACCGCCATGGCAACAGTCACAAGGTGAGCTACGGTCGCCATGGCAACAGTCACAAGGTGAGCTACGACCGCCATGGCAACAGTCACAACATGAGCTTCGACCACCATGGCAACAGTCACAAGGTGAGCCACGACCGCCATGGCAACAGTCACAAGGTGAGCTACGACCGCCATGGCAACAGTCACAAGGTGAGCTACGACCGGCATGGCAACAGTCACAAGGTGAGCTATGGTCGCCATTGCAATAGTCAGGACCAGTTCAACTCTGACGCACGTTTATTACTGTTAGATGCAAACTTAACAACAACAACAACAAATTATTCTTGTATAGCCCTAAATCACGACAGACGTCATCTCAGGACACTAACTGCCCAACAGGCCCTCCTGCATCAGCAAGGAAAAACTCACAAAAACCCAGTGGGAAAAAAAGTGAGAAACCTCGGGGAGACCTACACTTGAGAAAGGGATCCGCTCCGACACGAACGGACGGGCTAATGATCCAGGACCTAAGCAACAGAACGAGGACCAATGCCACGCAGCGGCCGCAGAGCGTTGGCAGGTCTGGTGCAGGACTGAAGCGCTCCCAGGCGGGTCGGGCAGGGATATCCGCAGGTGTAGATGGATAGGGCCAGTTCAGAGGTCCCGTTGTCACGCCTTGAAACAGACAACGGGTGAATAGCAATGAACACACTTAAGACGAAAGACGTTAAATACATCAGACATGATCAGCTCAGTACATCTGTGAGGACCAGACAAGGACTCATGGTGTCAGGGACCGGACCAGGACTCATGGTGTCAGTGACCGGACCAGGACTCAGCAGCCTATGACATCATAGAGTAAAGATGTTGTTGTAGTTACAGGAGAGAGTGTGTGATCTGGAGGCAGAGAGAGACCTCATCAAACAGAACTATGACTCTCTACTGCAGCGGTAAGAGTCACAAAATCACACTGGGGCCTCCTGGTCTCTCTCTCTCCTTTCTCCTCCTTTCTCCTTTCTCCTCTCTCCTCCCTCCTCTCTCCTCTTCTCTCTCTCCTCTCCCCTCTTATTTCTCCTCCCTCCTCTCTCTTCTTCTCTCTCTCCTCTCTCCTCTCTCTCCTCCTCACATTATCTCTCATTCCCACAGGACCTTCTCCTCTCCTGAAGCTCCGACACAGACCCACCAAGAGAAGCAGGAGCATTCACCTGAGCGTCTCCTGTCTGACAGTCTACAGAGAGAGAGGGACAGGGTGCGGGTGCTGGAGGGGGAGGCAGAAGTGCTCAGACAGGAGGTCCAGCTGCTCAGAGAGGAGGCGCAGAGAAGGAAGGAGCAGGAGACTCTGCACATGTCTGGTAAAGTCCACCCAAACTGACAAAGTCCAGGCGTATGTAACTTTCAAGCTATAAACCTTGGACTGAGACTGTAGACCCAGGACTGAGGCTGTAGACCCAGGACTGAGGCTGTAGACCCAGGACTGAGAATGTAGATCCAGGACGGAGGTCTGTAGACCCAGGACTGCAGCCTGCACACAGGCGTCTGGCTTCATCTTATTCACAGTTCCCAAATGGAAGAACCAGGGATTTGTTTTGTTTCTGTCCTCATCCTGCACCTTCCTGTCCTCTTGCAGCTCCCTGTCCTCCTGCAGCTCCCTGTCCTCCTGCAGATCTGTGGGACACCTCAGAGACTCAGAGACTTCTGGAGCAGCAGCTGGTCCACTATAAAGACCAGGTGTCCACTCTGCAGCACAAACTGGACTCTGTGGCTCAGGTCAGTCCAAGCATTCAGACACCGAGGACTGAGGCTGTAGACCCAGGACTGAGGCTGTAGACCTGAGATCTTGTCCGTGGTGATATAATAAAAACAATGGTCTCCTGTTGCAGGCCTATGACATGAGCGCTGAGGACCTCAGCCATACCCTCTTCCAGATCAAAGTAGGTCTTGAATGCTCCTGGTGTCTTGGCCTCCTCTCATGTTCCATGTGTGGCAGGAGTTCAGGCTGCAGCAGGAGGCCAGGACCGGCCTGGGCCTCCTCCACACTAACCCCAGAGCAGAGAAGAACCCCCCAGAGTTCACTCAGGTCCAGGCTGCACACGCAGACACCATCCTGGAGCTGCAGAAGACCAGAGAGCTGCTGAGGGTGGAGCACAACATCTGCAAAGACATGCAGGTACCTCCTTCAGGCACCTCCTTCAAGTACCTCCTTCAGGCACCTCCTTCATGTACAATCATCAGGTACCTCCATCGGGTACCTCCTTCAGGTACCTCCTCCAGGCTGAGGCTGATGAGTCCTGAGTTTGAATCAGAACTGAGTCTTTCTGAGGTTCTCAGGGTTCTGTGAAGAAAAGAAAACAACTAACAGTGACCCCTGACCTAACACTGTCCTCCTGCAGGAGGAGCTAAGGATCCAGGGTCAGAGGTCGGAGCAAGAGCGAGAGGAGAACCGCCACAGGAGCTCAGAGAAGGAGGTGCTTCTGTCCAAACGCAGCCGACAGATCAGCACTCTGCAAGGTCGAGCTTTCTTCTCCTCCTCTCCTCCTCCTGGTCGTCTCTAAAGCCTCCTCCTCTGTCCTGTCCTCCTCCTGTGCTCCTCCTGGTTGTCTCTAAAGCCTCCTCTGTCCTCCTGCTGTCCTCCTTCTGTCTAAAGCTTCCTCCTCTGTCCTCCTCCTCTGCTCCTCCGTCAGTCTAAAGCCTCCTCCTCGGTCCTCCTGCTGTCCTTCTGTCTAAAGCTTCCTCCTCTGCTCCTTCTTCTGTCTAAAGCTTCCTCCTCTGTCCTCCTCCTCTGCTCCTCCGTCATTCTAAAGCCTCCTCCTCGGTCCTCCTGCTGTCCTTCTGTCTAAAGCTTCCTCCTCTGCTCCTTCTTCTGTCTAAAGCTTCCTCCTCTGTCCTCCTCCTCTCCTCCTCCTTCTGTCTAAAGCCTCCTCCTCTGTCCTCCTCCTCTGCTCCTTCTGCTGTCTAAGGCCTCCACCTCTGTCCTCCACCTTTGCTCCTTCTTCTGTCTAAAGCCTCCTCCTGTGTCCTCAGCTCAGCTCAGAGAGTTGGCCTACAGCCCGCGGAGCTCGGGGTGGAGCCTCCCGGTCCAGTACACGTGGCCTGGGGTGGACCAGGAGGCCGTGCAGCCGCTGGAGGAGGATCTGGTCTTCTCTGGACTGAGGCCTCAGGAGTCTCTGCTGGAAGTGCACATCCAGGTAATAATCTTCATCATCACCATCACCATCACCATCACCATCATCATCACCATCATCATCACCGTCACCATCATCACCGTCACCATCATCATCATCATCACCATCATCATCATCATCACTGTCACCACCATCATCATCACCATCGTCATCATCATCATCATCATCATCACCGTCACCATCATCATCATCACCGTCACCATCATCATCTTCCTCATCATCATCACATCATCATCACCATCATCATCACCATCATTACCATCATCATCTTCATCATCACCATCATCTTCATCATCACCATCATCATCACCAGCATCTTCATGATCACCATCATCTTCATCATCATCATCACAATTCCTCATCATCACCATCATCTTCATCATCATCATCACCATCGCCATAATCTTCATCATCATCATCACCATCATCATCTTCATCATCACCATCATCTCCATGATCTTCATCATCATCATCATCATCACCATCATCATCATCTCTGACCTCACATTGTGACCTCTGACCTCACACTGTGACCTCTGCCCCCAGGCCGTGACCTTCACCCCCGCAGGCCTGCGTGCCCTGGGGCAGGCTGACAGTGCAGTGACCTTCTGCACCTACAGTCTGCTGGACTTCGAGCTGCACTCCACTCCTCTGGTGTCCGGGGGCCAGCCCTGCTACGGCTTCACCTCCCGCTATGTCCTGACCCCCAGGGACCTGGAGCGGCTGGGGGGCCCGAAGGGGACCAGGGGGGCCCCACTGGAGCTGCATCAGGCTGTGGGAGGAGTCCGTTTCCGCACACTTGGAGCCGGGAGCCTGAGTCTGCAGGGGGCCATGGAGAAGACCGGACTGAGAGCCGAGGGACGAGCCAACATCACAGGTGGACACACAACTGGATCAGATCAACTTCATTACTCTCACTCATGTCATGATTCCACAGGACCAGCAGGGGGCGTGGTGGGGCTTCTGGACTATTGGACTCGGCTGCACCCTCCTGCGGAGCCAGTGGAGTCTGAGCCCATGAGAACATCTGGGAGGCCATCACAGAAGGTCCCACGGGTCCCACAGACCCCCCTGGGCTGGCAGGACCCCTCCACTGAGGTGGGCCACACGTCTACAAGACCTACCCCCACAAAACATTCTTGTACTTGGGGGACCTTTGATCTGTCTGTGGGCTCTCATGTGTGTGTATGTGTGTGTGTGTGTGTGTGTCTGTGTGTCTTGTGTGTGTGTGTGTGTGTGTGTGTGTGTGTGTGTGTCTGTCTCTCTGTGTGTACACACAGGAGGTGCTGGACCTCAGTGGGGGGATCCCTAATGAGTTGGTGGTGACCCTGGAGCGTTGTGTGGGTCTGAGGAGCCGTTGGCCTGGGCTCCTGCCGGACTCTTACCTCAGTTTCCGTCTGTACGACCTCCCCCCTCATTCCTCCCCCACCGTGAGGGCCTCTGCTGATCCTCACTTCCACCACTCCACCTGCTACCCCCTCGCTGTGACCTCGGACCTGCTCAGCTACCTGCGGTGAGAGACACCAAGGACCAGCAGGGGTCAAGGAACCAGAGAGACACCAGGGACCAGAGAGACACAAAGGACCAGAGAAAGACCAGGGACCAGAGAGACACCATGGTCCAGAGAGACACCATGGTCCAGAGAGACACCAGTGACCAGAGAGACACAAGGGACCAGAGAGACACAAAGGACCAGAGGGAGACCAGGGACCAGGGACCAGAGAGACACCAGGGACCAGAGAGAGACTAGAGAGAGACCAGAGAGAGACCAGAGAGAGACCAGAGGGAGACCAGAGAGAGACCAGAGAGAGACCAGAGAGAGACCAGAGAGAGACCAGAGAGTGAGACCAGTGAGAGAGACCGGAGAGAGACCAGAGAGAGACCAGAGAGAGACCAGAGAGAGACCAGAGAGAGAACAGAGAGAGACCAGAGAGAGAGACCAGTGAGAGAGACCAGAGAGAGACCAGAGAGAGAGACCAGGGAGGGCTCTCTTCCTGACGCCCTGTTGTGCTCTGCAGGATCAGCAGTCTGTGGGTATATGTGTTCGATGACAGTGAGGAGCAGATGCCTCCTCTGTACTTGGCCAAGACCCCTGTGCCTCTGCGAGCGTTGGCAGAGGGTCGCGACGTCCGCGGTGAGACTCTGAAGACCGTCAGCTCAATGTACTTGTGGTTGTGGCTGTAGACCCAGGACTGAGGCTGTAGACCCAGGACTGAGGGTCTAGATCCAGGACTGAGGCTGTAGACCCAGGACTGAGACTGTAGACCCAGGACTGAGACTGTAGACCCAGGACTGAGGCTGTAGACCCAGGGCTGAGGCTGTAGACCCAGGACTGAGGCTGTAGACCCAGGACTGAGGGTCTAGATCCAGGACTGAGGCTGTAGACCCAGGACTGAGACTGTAGACCCAGGACTGAGGTGTAAAACATATTGTTTTACACAATATTCTCATCTCTAGTCCCCTCTGAACCACAGCCTCAGTCAGCACCATGGACAGTTCCAGCTGTACGTGAAGCAGAGTCTAACATTGAAATGATCCTCTTCTCGATTGAATGAAAAGTCTGTATGATGTGATGAGACATTGGTGAGACGTGTGCTCCCCTTGTGCCCTCTCCCACCAGGGGACTATGTGCTGAGGGATGCAGCCGGGGGACCTCGAGGACTGCTCCGGATCCAGATCAAGTGGAAGTACCCCTTTAAACGTCCTGCTGACCACACAGAGGAGAGGAGAGAGGGGAGGAGAGACGAGAGGAGAGAGGAGAGGAGAGAAGAGAGGAGAGAGGAGAGGAGAGAGGAGAGGAGACCGTGGAGGAGAGAGGAGAGGGGAGAAGAGAGGAGAGAGGAGAGAGAGGAGAGAGAGGAGAGGAGAGAGGAGAGGAGAGAGGAGAGGAGCCAGAGACCCGTGGCCAAACCCAGACTCAAGGTCACTACAGATTTCCTTATTTTCTGTTTCATCTTGAACCTCTGACTCTCTGGAGACCACTGTGCAGAGTGTGTAGAACTGTTTGATGGTGATGTTCAGAGATGTGTCTCGCTCCTGGAGGGTCAGAGGTGAAGGCCGATGGTCATGTGTGTGTTGTCATCACCGCAGAGTCCTTTGAAGCCCCTGGTCCCAGAGGAGGCGTCAAGAGAGAGGAAGACCAGGTCCAGGAAGTCCCCTGAGCCCGAGCCCCCTCCACACCACACGCACAGGTCTGTTGGTTTCTCAGCTTCTCTCACTCCTAAAGACATGTTCTCTCAGCGGCTCAACCCTCTCCCTCTCTCCCTCCAGGAGCCTGAGGACCACTCCTTCACCTCCACCTCCTCAGGACCAGACCTCTGTGGAGCAGGACCCTGAGTCCAGAGCTCAGTCTGACTCTGGTGAGTTCCTTCTGCTCTTAAACTCAAACACATGGTTATCTTCTTTCTGGTTTCTCTCTGGTCTCTTTCTGGTCTCTCTCACTGGTCTGTCTCTCTGGTGTCTCTCTGGTCTATAAAAAGGATCTATAAACCTGAAAAGCACAGGTGACATCAGTCTCCTCTGTCCCACAGATGAAGATGGTTCCTCTGCTGGTTCCTCTGCTGGTTCCTCTCACAGTGACGTGGTGGTCGTCCCGGCGGTCTCCCGGGTGGAGCGCGGGCCTCGCCTCAGGGTGGAGATCCTGTCCCTGCGGCTGGAGCGCTGCTCTGTGTCTCTGGATAAGTCTGTGCAGCGTCTGTTTGTGGAGTACCGTCTGTTGGGGATCCCCCTGTGCTCCACCGAGACCCCCATGTCCCTGCGCAAGCCCAGTGCAGGCCAGGAGGTGCACTACAACTTCACCAGAGGTCTGTGACCCCCGACCCCACCCCTCTGTGTGTAACTCTCTGTCTCTGTGTGTGTGTGTGTGTGTGTGTGTGTGAGACTCTCTGTGTGTGTCTGTGTGTGTGTGTGTGTCTCTCTCTGTCTCTGTGTGTGTGTGTGACTCTCTGTCTCTGTGTGTGTGTCTCTCTCTGTCTCTGTGTGTGTGTGTGTCGCTGTCTCTCTGTGTGTGTGTGTGTGACTCTCTGTCTCTGTGCGTTTGTGTGTGTGTGTGTGTCTCTCTCTGTCTCTGTGTGTGTGTGTGACTCTCTGTCTCTGTGTGTGTGTCTCTCTCTGTCTCTGTGTGTGTGTGTGTCGCAGAGGAACCATCGTGACTCTCTGTCTCTGTGCGTTTGTGTGTGTGTGTGTGACTCTCTGTCTCTGTGGTTGTGTGTGACCATCTGTTTCTGTGTGTGTGTGTGTGTGCGTGTGTCTCTCTCTGTTTGTGTGTGTGTGTGTGTGTCTCTCCCTGTGTATGTGACTCTCTGTGTGTGTGTCTGTATCTGTTTGTGACTCTCTGTGTGTGTCTCTGTGTGTAGTCATCTACGTGTCCGGCTCCCGTGCTGCTCCTCTCAGGCAGTACCTGTTCACCGTGTTGGAGGGCACCGACCCGCACCAGGGCAGGTATGGCTTCTCTCACAGAAGTGTTTGTGTAGTAGAAGTTTGTGTTACCGTTTACTGCACCTGTCCACTCATGTCGCTCCAAGTGCTGTGTGTGTGTGACTTCCCTCCCTCTGTTCTCTCTCTGTTCTCTCTCTGGTCTCTCTGGTCTCTCTCTCTGGTCTCTCTCTGGTCTCTCTTTGGTCTCTCTCTATGGTCTCTCTCTGGTCTCTCTCTCTGGTCTCTCTCTATGGTCTCTCTCTGGTCTCTCTCTGTGGTCTCTCTCTGGTCTCTCTCTGGTCTCTCTCTCTGGCCTCTCTCTATGGTCTCTCTCTGGTCTCTCTCTCTCTGGTCTCTCTCTGGTCCCTCTCTGGTCTCTCACTCTCTGGTCTCTCTCTCTCTCTCTGGTCTTCCTTTGCAATAAACCAGATGTCACTGGGACCAGAGCAGGACCAGAGGTAAAGTCCTGATGTAGAGTGTTGTGTGCGGCAGGTTGAGGTTCTCAGTGGTGAGCGAGCCCATGGACGAAGAGGACGACTGTGTGGACGTGGGACATGCTTTCCTGGACCTCAGGGACCTGCTGGAGACCGGGCAGGACGTGCTGGAGCGGGACGTCCCGAGTATGTGTCGGTTTGCTTCTTTTCTCACCAAATCCATTACAAATCTGATCATTCTCTTCTGTTTCCTAGTTGTGGGAACGGACAAAGATCAAGAGGTGATCGGATATCTCAAAGTGTCTCTGGAGGCAGCTGTGGCTCTGAGCAGCATCTACAGAGAGTTCCAACAAGACAAGGAGGACCAGGAGGAGGAGGACCAGGAGGAGGACAAGGAGGACGAGGAGGACAAGGAGGAGAGACAAGACCAAGAAAAAGAGCAAGAATCACTCAAAGTCACAGAGTTTGACCAGGACAGTGACTTCTAGAGCCTCCACTTGTTGGACAAAAAGCTGTAGATCCAGGACTGAGGCTGTAGACCCAGGACTGAGTCTGTAGATCCAGGACTGAGGCTGTAGACCCAGGACTGAGGCTGTAGACCCAGGACTGAGGCTGTAGATCCAGGACTGAGGCTGTAGACCCAAGACTGAGGCTGCAGACCCAAGACTGAAGCTGTAGACCCAAGACTGAGGCTGCAGACCCAGGAGTGAGGTTGTAGACCCCGGATTGAGGCTGTAAACCCAGGACTGAGGCTGTAGACCCAGAACTGAGGCTGTAGACCCAAGACTGAGGCTGTAGACCCAGAACTGCGGCTGTAGACCCAGGACTGAGGCTGTAAATCCAGGACTGATGGAAACTGCGCTCCCATTTTTACTAGTTTTAGTCAACAGTGAATATGAAATGATAGATGAATAAATACATAAACAATGTTGTAACTGTAACAGGCACATGTTCATGAATAAATGGTACATCCAAAAGTTAAACATTCACACGTATGAAAACTGTTCTTTTGTAAAGTCTGACAAAACCTGTAGCACATGTGTCCAGCAGGGGGCGGGGCGGTACTTCAACAGGAGTCTATAACAGTCTACACTGCTCTGTGTCTGTAACCTACAGGAAAACTGACCATTTTTACTTTGGTCTAACTTTCTTATCTGTAGTTAACAAACATGAAGCGTGTGTGGTTACAGTTTTTTATTTTGACATTTTAGTGCGAATTAGATCAAATCTGACTTTTGAGCCTGAAACCGTCTGTGGCGCCCTCTCTACATTTGAATGTGGTGCCTGGCTTCTCATTGGTTCTGAGTGCAGTGTGACCACGCATATGTGTGCGTAACATTTTTAGCTGTATGTACACTGGCCGTGCGCGCAGGTCCGCACGTACCCCACTTTGAGAACCACTGATGTAGAGCAACACAAATTACATGCATGTGTTTGTCTTCATGGTCTCTGTGCGCTGGTTTGGCCAGACGCGAGACTTTATGAAAGAAAAAAAAACAATGTCCAGAACATGGATCTATTGGTCCAGAATCACTAACATGCTAATGTTTAGATACAAGTGCTTTGTGTGTGTAGATGCGATCTAAAAGCCAACTGCCGCTAGAAAAATCATGTTTCACATGTGTTTTCAATGGGAGACGCGATGCTGTGCGCACAAAATGAGAAATCCATTCTAAATTAGGCGCAGCCTCGCGTCAAACGTCCGTTATACGCGCGTATAACACGCGTAATGTAAATATCCCCATTGGTTTACATGTAAAAATGTTACACGTGTCTGCTGCGCGTATAACGCGTACGTGCTGTAACGCCTCCTGTGTAAATTAGCAGTTAGGGTTAGTGTTAGTGAAAGAGAAGTTCTGGTGTAAATTATTGCTTTAAAGGAGCTGTACCCGTTTCTGCCAGGTTTGAATGTTTAGTTCCGCCCCCAACTCGCTCGCAGGTCTCTTATTTCCCCTACGCTCTCCTCCCACGGAGCTAACATTAGCATGAGCACAACTGAAGCTGAACAACAATCACTGATGAAATGGTACAAAAGCAACGCACTGCTAACAAAATATATAAACCCCAGTTACCTAATGTAACTAAGGTTCTATGAATTTGTTGCGAAGCCCTTTAGGCTTCGCTAATGCATATCTCTGAAGCATCTCTTCCCGCCCTGAGAAGATCAAACGATCCACCCTCCAATCACCTTCACGTCCTGGCGTAGGCCAGTCCCCTATAAATAGGGCCATGCACCACAGCTCTTCTCCTTTCGAACTCAGCCGAATAAGAGAGGGCAGGCCTGCTGGGCTCGAAGCTAAAGGGCTTCGCAACATATTCATAGAACCTTAGTTACATTAGGTAACTGGGGTTTCTATTTCATATGTTGCTTCGCCCTTTAGGCTTCGCTAATGCATAACATAGCGAAGCCCAGACCGATGTACTCCCAGCAGGCATGAACTCCGGTGATTGGAGCAAACTCGTGACCCACGTGCTCATACCGCAACCAAGCGGTAGAGACGGAGGTCCTACGAGCCATAGAGAAAGGGATGGAGGGCCACCTCTCTCAAGAGTGCCCCGAGCATTCCCCAACCTGCAAAGCAGGAAAGAATTCAGAACAAACCTGGGCAGGCAGCCTCTCCCAAGAGCGCCTGATCCCCAGGAGTGTAAAGCAGACTGCAGAAGGGCCTAGGCCGCCTCTCCCAAGAGCGCCTATCCTTACTGCAGAGGTGTCCAGGCCGCCTCTCCCAAGAGCGCCAACACCTCTCCACACAACCCCCCCCTGCAGACGAGTTCTCATCGAGGTCTGTCGAAGGAGGAACTAGGGCCGCCCTGCACTCAAAACCGAATGAGCCACAGAGTCAGAGGCCACCTCCAGTAGGTAAAACTGCACAAAAGTCGAGGAGGAGGACCAAGACGCCGCTCTGCAGATCTCCTCCACCGAAGTGCCATGGAACAAAGCAACCGAAGCGGAAACCCCGCGAGTGGAGTGAGCCCTCAACTGGGCTGGAGGCAGCAAGCCCTGAGCTTCATACGCCAAACGGAAGCAAGGCGAAGCTAGTGAGCCAAGCGCTGTGGAGACAAAGCAGCACCCTGACTCCTGGTGCCAAACCCCACAAACAACTGATCCGACCGTCTGAGGTCAGACGTGCGGTCCAGATAGCATCTCACAGCCCTGACCGGAGGAGGGAAAACCAGGGAGGGAGACCAAGGCTCAACATGAGCCTGCTTCCCAGGACAGGGCGTGAGTAAAGGGCTCCCCCTGCCTGTCTCAGAGCATCAGGACGGTCCGGAACGGGCCAAGGCGGACTGAGCGCCATGCTCACCAGGTCCGGATAGCACCTGGCTCCCGGGCTGTTCGGCGCCACCACCAGGATGGAGACCCCCTCCGTCCTCACCCTGTAAGGCAGGGCTGCCAAGAGCCGGAGAGGCGGGAAGGCATAGAGGAGACCGTTGGGCCACGACCGGTGCACCACAGTGGTGTTGTCCGTCCGAAAAATCACCTGTTGGCCCTCCAGTCTGGTCATGAAATGGGCCAGCACCAACCGCATCGCCTCCAATTCCAGGAGGTTGATGTGCCCCAAGGGGGAGAACCAAACGCCTCCTGTCGAGTGGTGGCCAAGCAGGCCTCCCCAACCACTCAGTGAGGCGTCCGTGAAGACCTCGATGTGGTGGTCCACAACACCCATTTGAACTCCCTCCTGGAGTCGACCTGGGGACAGCCAGAAGGCGACGTCGTTCTGAGCCCTCACCGACAGTCGCTCCCTCCGTGATAAGCCCCTGAGGTGTGAGAACCACCTCTGGAGATATCGCATGTGCAGCAACCCCAGTCTCACTACTGGACGGGCCGCTGCCATCATGCCCAAGAGTGACTGGATCTGCCGCGGTTGGACCCGAGGTTCACCCAGAACGATCCGGCCCAGGTTTTGAACCGCCGCTTCTTTCTCTGGCGAGAGTGAAGCTGTCATGCTCCTGGAACCCAAGCCCAGTCCCAGATACGAGATCTCCTGGGCCGGGCACAGGGAGCTTTTGTCCCTATTGATCACAAACCCTAGGTGAGCACGTGATTTAACACTCTGGACGTTTGATCCTGCGCATCCTCCCGGGAGGACAGGATCACCATTCGTTGATATACGTCAGTGTCCTGAGGCCCTGACGCCGAAGGGGTTCTAGCGCCGCCTCCACACACTTGGAGAAGGTGCGGGGGGCTAGGGAGTAGCCGAGTGGGGGACCGGAGGAACTTCTTGTGCCCCCGTGCAATGGGTTTGTGGAAATTCGCGTCCTTGAGGTCCACGGAGGACCTCCAGTCCCCGGCCCTGACGCTCAGGAGTAGCTGTTTACTGTGCGCATGCAAAACAGTCGCTTGGCTATGCAGCCCTTGAGGACGAGCAGGTCCAGCATGGCCCGCACCCCTCCGCACTTTTATTTTTATTTTATTTTATTATTTTTTTTATTATTTTTTAGGGACTATGAAGTATGGAGAGTAAAACCCTGTCCCTGCCCTGAGCGGGTCTACCTCCACTACCGCCCGGCGCTGCAGAAGCGTGTTGACCTCCCTGTGAAGCGCCACGGCGTTCTAGAGAATTCCGCAGAAAGGAGGGGGCCGCCAGGAAAACTGGAGAGCATAGCCCCGACTCAGCACTCTGTGTATCCACAGAGTTCCCCGGAGCCCCGACTGTTCCGATACGGTGACAACATGGGTCAAGGGAAGCACAGCGGGATGGGAGGAGGGAGAAAGGCCTGGTCCGCCCGCAGATGTCCCATCCTGGGGAGGCATCGGATAGTGGGGGGCCCGTGGGAAAAGGCCTGAGCCCTAGCAACGGCCCTGGGCCTTTCTCTGGGTGGCCGCGTGAGGGCAGGTGTGCTGCACTTACGTGGAGCCGAGCCCCTGCTCCCCAACACTGTGGACTGAGAGGGGACCGAGCAGTCCCGCATATTGCAGTGGGGGGCCCCTTGAAAGAGGGCTGGGCCCTAGCTGCGGCCCTGGGCCTTTTCCCGGGTGGCCGCGTGACGGCGGGTGTTCTGTGCTTACATGGAGCCGAGCCCCTGCTCGCCAACACTGTGGACTGAGAGGGCGCCGAGAAGTCCCACTTATTGCAGTGGGAGGCCCCTGGGAAGAGGGCTGGGCCCTAGCTGCGGCCCTAGGCCTTTTTCCGGGTGGCTGCGTGAGGGCGGGTGGCTGCGTGAGGGCAGGTGTGCTGCGCTTACGTGGAGCCGGGCCCCCGCTCCCCAACACTGTGAACTGAGAGGGGGCTGAGCAGTCACACTTATTACAGTGGGGGGCCCCTGGGAAGAGGGCTTGGCCCTAGCTGCGGCCCTGGGCCTTTTTCCAGGTGGCCGCGTGAGGGCAGGTGTGCTGCGCTTACGTGAAGCCGAGCCCCCGCTCCACAACACTGTGGACTGAGAGGGGGCCGAGCAGTCCCACTTTTTGCAGTGGGGGGGCCCCTGGGAAGAGGGCTGGGCCCTAGCTGCGGCCCAGGGCCTTTCTCCGGGTGGCCGAGTGGAGCCGAGCCCCCGCTCCCCAACACTGTGGACTGATAGGGGGCCGAGCAGTCCCACTTTTTGCAGTGGGGGGCCCCTGGGAAGAGGGCTGGGCCCTAGCTGCGGCCCTGGGCCCTTTTTCTGGGTGGCCACGTGAGGGCAGGTGTGCTGCGCTTACGTGGAGCAGAGCCCCCGCTCCCCAACACTGAGGGGGGGTAGAGCAGTACTACTCATTGCTCTGGATAGTGGGGGGCCGCTGGAAAAAGGTCTGAGCCCTAGCTGCGGCCCTGGCCTTTACCGGGTAGAAGCGTGAGGGCAGGACAGCTGTGAGCTGGTGCTCGTGGCGCACAGAGAGCGTAGGAGGGTAGCGTGCAGCCGCGCACTCTCTGCCCAAGAGAGGCAAAGGCACGGGGAGCGCAGAGCGGTCCCGGAGCATGCCTCCAGCGCGCGCACGAGAGGCGCGCTGAGAGAGGCTCCACACTTGGCAGATGAGCAGCGTTGGCCAAGCGCTGAGGCTAAGGAAAAGGGGAAAGAAGTGTTCTCTTTGAGGGAGTAACGGGCCTGATGATGGCCTTTATTAAAGCGTTTTCCTCCCCTCCTCGCAGCTGCAAAGCCGGGGTGGCTGCTGCTCCTCTGCTTGTCACACGCTTGCTGTCTCCTCTTGGTTCTGAGCGGTGCGGGGTGGCAGAGCGGTCCCTGTCCGAGGGATGCAGCGAGGAGAGTAATGTTATAAGCCATAGCAACGACCTATGATGCACAAGCATAACACCTGTCAAGCATGGACACGGCCGGCTTGCCCCGCTCGGGGGGGGGGGGGGTGCCAGTCCAGACCCCGTAGGAAGCTGGTGTACAGGCGTACTCCATCCTCTATGAGAGGAAAACCTGACCGCCAAGGCCAGGCCTCCGCACCCGCGTATACTCCATACGCTAGCGCCGGGGAATGGGCTGTCATGGGCCTATCCCCTCGTGGCTGATATAGTGAAGCAGAGGCACACCCTGAGCGAGCCACCATGGGCACCGAGAGTGATGTTAATAAGCAACCATCTGTGGTGCAGTAGTATTACGCCTGTCCAGCGTGAGCAGAACGTAGCACCCCATGAGCGAGCCACCGTGGGCACCACTCCAGGGATGAAGCGAGCAAAGTGATGTGTTAAGCTAGGACAACCATCTGTGGTGTATTAGCTATACGTCTGTTCAGCGTGGATAGAGGGTAGCACACCATGAGCGATGCCACCAAGGGCACCATTCTATGCAGCATGAATAGTCCACGGCGTCAATGAAGCCCGTGCCGCGGGGCTTTCTCCCGCGGCACGACGCCAGCCCAGGCAGAAGACGCTGGACTCGTGGCGGTCAGTCTGGGCACAAGTCGCAGATCCGCAGCCTGACACCGGAGGGTGGCAAGTTCTCAGGCGCGGGGATCTTGCTTGAAGACATCCTAGCAAATTAATCGAAGCTTCTCTTAGGCAAGCTGAGAGAGAAAGGAGAAGAGCTGTGGTGCACAGTGTTGCCAACTCCTCAGTAAGGAAAGTAGCTATTGGCTGTCCCAAAAGTCGCTAGAAGTCGCTAAATGACGTCATCGCCTAATTTGCATAATTTGCCATTTGCAAATAACTGTAACGGACGCTGTAGGAGAGAGGAATAAGGTCGTGGGAGAGACAAAAGTGAGTAAAAACACCCTAAATATGTTTAGAACTACAAATGTACAAAAATAATTTCAACATTAACAACATTTAATGATTTTAATGCTTTGTCTAGATCCACATTACACACATCAGTTTTGTCCTGTATTGTTAAATGTTATAACAGCAAATGTAATCAAAAGATTGTTATGTAGGGTGAAATTGCTAGCTCTACAACCAACCCTCCTCCTTTATCCGGGCTTGGGACCGGCAAAGTGACCCAAAAGACACACTCTGGCAGAGTTACTTTGTTTATTTTTGTAAGTTTTTTTTTTTTTTCATAGTTTGGCATAACAAATGATTTAATGTGACCCACTACTGAGAGAAAACAGAGTCACGGACAGAGCTGCCGCGGATGGAGTGGGGGGTAGTGGGGGGTGGCGGTGGTAGGAGTGGCCGGGGAGCTTTGGATGTGTGGTGGTGGTGGAGCTGGAGTTCAGTCTGCAGCAGCCTGAAAACTCCCTGTGCTTTTGAGTCTCCTCTCTCTCTCTCTGCTCCGCCCATAGACTGTAGCTGGGACTGCTGCGCAAGGCTACTGTGAGACTGGCCGCCTGTAAGTGCTTTGGGACGGGGGAGGGGCTCACGTTGAGGACAGCAGAACAATACGTGCTTCACGAGTCTCCAAAACACCAGATAAGTCGCCAATAACACCAGAAAAAGTCGCTAGATTTGTCGCTAGTCGCTTTTTTGAAAAAAAGTCGCTATAGGGGTCTGAAAAGTCGCTAAATCTAGCGACAAAGTCGCTAAGTTGGCAACACTGGTCGCAGATGCAGCCTGACACCGAGGTGGCAAGTTCTCAGGCGCGGGATCTTGCTTGTGCAAGATCGAAGCTTCTCTTGGCAAGCTGAGAGAGAAGAGAAGAGCTGTGGTGCATGGCCCTATTTATAGGGGACTGGCCTACGCCAGGACGTGAAGGTGATTGGAGGGTGGATCGTTTGATCTTCTCAGGGCGGGAAGCGATGCTTCAGAGATATGCATTAGCGAAGCCTAAAGGGCGAAGCAACATATGAAATAGAACTGAAAGATTACTGCTAGATTCGTGTCCAAATGTAGTCCGAGCATAGATAGTCCGAGCATAGATAGTCCGAGCATAGATAGTCCGAGCATAGATAGTCCGAGCATAGATAGTCCGAGGCGATCCCGCAGGCCTCTCCTATTGACCCCTTGCATGTGACGTCCCGGCCACGCCCACTCTCCATGACAGACGGCAGAAGTACTGGAGCCTATGGACACCTGACCAAAACAACCTGTTTCAGCGCATTACAGCCAAAACTGTGACATTTTGTAGTGCGGTTGATTATACTAACAGGCAAGGACATAAGCTTTTTTATCTGATACCTGCTTGTCATGAAGACAGAAGACGACGATGGCGGCAATCAACCAAAAGGACTGGGACCCATCCAAGTACTCCCTAATATGCAGTGAACACTTTTTAAAAGATAAAGCAATCACAAGTTTGTATTTATTTTATTTCCATTAATTTGGAGGACAATGACACACGTCAAACGTGTCTCTTACTACTGTCCTGTATGTGCGCTGCAACATTGACATTTTTATCTTTTAAGTCAATTGCCTGTTTCACTATTTTCCTCTCCGTCAGTACGTATCATGTTTGGCTGTAGACAGAAAAGCCACAGAAAAGTGGACTATTGCTAATGCTACCAGCAAAATGTACATATAAATCTGCTCCAGTGTGAGGGGATGCATTGTTAACGATAATGATAAAGATCATGGAGGGTGAATTTTATTTAATCGATAAAATTGACTGGGGGAGAAGGTACGGGTCAACATCCAGCTAGGCAATCCTTAACTTCTCCAAATACCACTCTTTGTGAGCTCTGGCTTGATTTCTTCTTTGATAATTTTTTTGCTTTAGTTCCCTCTTCTCTTCCTCACTGTTGTGTCGTTTGGGCTGTTTTGCTGTGTCTGCAGTTACAGCAAGAAGAGTTATAGCCAATTCTGCTAACATGCTACTGTGTTTAGCAGCGCTGTAGATGCGAGAGGACGCAGCCTCGTTTAAAAGATAAATAGATTTATTGTGGTAGTGAGATTTAGGGAAAAGACTCAAGCTAGTGTTAAGAAAGTGAGTCCGTTTGCACTTACTGATGACTTAGGAAGAAAGGTGGGTGACATCCGTTCAGCAAAAGTATTGGCAGATGGCAACTTAATGATACATTGTGCAAGTGAAGAACAACTTAATAAAGCATTGAGCATGAAAGAGCTGGGAAAGTCTAAAGTGGTTAGCACAGGTCAAGTGGGTGCACAGGCAGTAGGCGGAAGTAAAGGAGTGATAACTGGGGTTCCAGTCAGTGTCAAGACAGATGACCTAAAAAGGAACATCAGAGGGGGCACAGTTATAAATGTTTCTAGATTCAAAGTCACAAAGGAAGGAGCTAAAATGGATAGTGAAACAATTCTGGTCGAGTTCTCTGAAAAATTGTTGCCAAGTAAAGTTTTTGTGGGGTTCTTGAGCTACCCGGTGAGGGCCTACATCCCTAAACCATTGAGATGCTTCAATTGTCAGCAATTTGGGCATATTACAATAAACTGTAAGGAAAAGAAGAGGTGTGCTCGGTGTGGTGGGGGGCATGAGTATGGAAAGTGTGGAGAAGGGGTACAGCCGAAGTGTTGTAGTTGTGGTGGGGCCCAT